AAAAGTCTACAGAAATATAGTGACACACAAATTGAAACTCATTCAACAACATCAGCCTAATGGAGTTGTAGATCACCTGTCACATTCCAGTGTTCAAACTTGTAAACATGGCTGCATGGCATTTATCTGAACGCGCTTGTGGATTTGACAACTCTAACTGTAGTTCCGCCTCCGACACCACCAAAACAACCGCTATGCCGGTGTTAGTTAGCGTGGATCTGGTAGAATCTAGGGCAAGGTATAGCTTATATCTTTTTACATGATGAGCACAGATAGTAACAAACAAGCTTAAGACTCAAAATGTGTAACAATATGTTAAACTTTCTGAACTTGTTATTACATCATTTCACCTTATGCAGTGAGCAGTGAAGATCACCTGATGGAGTACATGTCTCACAGAACACAGCAGAGGAGGACTTTGCAGGGAGGAAGGGTAAAATGCAGAGTTCAGACCCAGGGCCCTGAGCTTAGTGATGAGCTTGGAGGGCACTATGGTGTTGAAGGCTGAGCTGTAGTCGATGAACAGCATTCTCACACAGGTATTTCTCTTGTCCAGGTGGGATAGGGCAGTGTGCAGCGCAGTGATTGTGTTGTCCGTGGATCTGGTTGGGGCGGTATGCAAATTGTGAGGTGATACGATACTTAACTAGCCTCTTAAAGCACTTGATGATGACAGAAGTGAGTGCTACGGGGCGATTGTCATATAGTTCAGTTACCTTTGCTTTCTTGGGTACAGGAAAAAAGGTGCACATCTTGAAGCAATTACGGAGAACAGACTGGGATAGGGAGAGATTGAATATGTCCGTAAACACTCCAGCCAGCTGGTAATAACAATAATATTAATAACAATAATAATAATAATATAATAACTCTTAGTAGAAAATGTGCTTGTGTCACTCATTCGTTCATTTTGATTTATTTATAATAATATATACATTTAGTAGACACTTTTATCCAAAGTGACTTACAGCATTCCTTTTTACGTATGGATAGCCCTGAGAATTGAACCCACTATCTTGGCATTGCAAACATCATGCTCTACCAACTGAGCTACAGAGAACTGCACATGCTCTGAGCATGCGGCTTGGGCCGGCAGCCTCGCGAGGGTTAACACGCTTAAACATCTTACTCACGTCGGCCATGGAAAACGAGAGCTCACATTCCTCGTGAGCAGCGGTGGCCCGCATCGGGCGGCTACATGTTGTTTTCCTCGAAGCGGGCGAAGAAGGTGTTTAGCTTGTCCGGGAGTGAGGCGTCAGTGTCCGCAACGTGGCTGGCTTTCCCTTCACAATCCGTGATTGTTAGGAGTTCCTGCCACATACGTCTCGTGTCTGAGCTGTTGAATTGGGACTCCATTTTGTCCCTGTACTGATGTTTTGCCTCTTTGATTGCCTTACAGAGGTCTGTTTATACACGTCCATGTTCCCAGGCTCCTTGCCATGGATAAAAGCGGTGGTACGTGAATTGGTGCTGTCTACCCACAGTTTTTGGTTTGGGAACAACATCCTCTATGTACATCTTGATGAACTCAGTCACAGAGTAAGTGTATACGTCGCTACTATTCTCAGAGGCAACCCGGAACATTTCCCAGTCCGGGTGATCACAGGAATCTTGAAGGATAGATTCCGATTGGTCAGACCAACGTTGAACAGTCCTCACTACGGGTGCTTCATGCTTAAGTTTCTGCCTATAGGTGGGAGGAGCAGAAAAGAGGTGTGATCTGATTTGCCGAAGGGAGGGGGGGGGGGGGGCGAGGGCCTTTTGAGCCGCCCCGGAAGGGAGAGTAGCAATGATCCAGAGTGTTCGAGCGCGAGTAGCACAGGAGATGTGTTAATCGAATTTCGGTAGCATTTTCCTCCGATTTATTTTATTAAAGTCCCCAGCTACAATATGCAGTTTCCAGTTTGCAGAAAGTCCAGTGTAGCTCCTTGAGAGCCGTCGTGGTGTCGGCTTGAGGGGAAATATACACGGCAGTGACGATGACCCGAATAAAATTATCTTGGGAGGTAATGCAGTTGGCATTTCATGGTGAGGTATTCCAGATCAGGAGAACAAAAGGACTTGAGTTCCTGTAAGTTACCACAATCACACCATGATTTGCAAATCATGAAACATACTCCTCCAACTTTATTTTTCCCGGAAAGTTATTTCTTCCTGTCCGCGCGATGGACGGAGAACCCAACTGGCTGAATGGATGGGGAAAATATATCTGGAGAGAGCCATGATTCCGTAAAACAGAGTATGTTACAGTCCCTAGTGTCTCTCTGGAAGGAGATCCTTGCCCTGAGCTCATCTACTTTATTGTCCAGGGACTGAACGTTAGCGAATAGTATACTCGGAAGCGGTGGATGGTATGGAACGCCTCCTGAGTCTGACTAGGACCCCACTTCTTCTTCCTCTTCTCTGGCGTCATTGTTTTGGTGCAGCTCCCGGGATGAATAGAGCTGCCTCAGGAAGTTCAAACAAAGTATCCAGTTCAGGGAAGTTACATGTCTGGTTGAAATAGTGAGTGACCGCTGATCTAATATCCAAAATATACAGTTGAAATCGGAAGTTTACATACACTTAGGTTGGAGTCATTAAAACTCGTTTTTCAACCACTCCACAAATGTCTTGTTAACAAACTATAGTTTGGCAAGTCGGTTATGACATCTACTTTGTGCATGACACAAGTAATTTTTCCAACAATTGTTTACAGACAGATTATTTCACTTATAATTCACTGTATCACAATTCCAGTGGGTCAGAAGTTTACATACACTAAGTTGACTGTGCCTTTAAACAGCTTGGAAAATTCCAGAAAATTATGTCATGGCTTTAGAAGCTTCTGATAGGCTAATTGACATAATTTGAGTCAATTGGAGGTGTACCTGTGGATAGCCTACCTTCAAACTCAGTGCCTCTTTGCTTGACATCATGGGAAAATCAAAAGAAATCATCCAAGACCTCAGAAAAAAATGGTAGACCTCCACAAGTCTGGTTCATCCCTGGGAGCAATTTCCAAACGCCTGAAGGTACCACGTTCATCGGTACGAACAATAGTACGCAAGTATAAACAACATGGGACCACGCAGTCGTCATACCACTCAGGAAGGAGACGCGTACTGTCTCCTAGAGATGAACGTACTTTGGTGCGAAAAGTGCAAATCAATCCCAGAACAACAGCAAAGGACCTTGTGAAGATGCTGGAGGAAACAGGTACAAAAGTATCTATATCCACAGTAAAACAAGTCCTATATCGACATAACCTGAAAGGCCACTCAGCAAGGAAGAAGCCACTGCTCCAAATCCAGCATATAAAAGCCAGACTACGGTTTGCAACTGCACATGGGGACAAAGGTCGTACTTTTTTGAGAAATGTCCTCTGGTCTGATGAAACAAAAATATAACTGTTTGGCCATAATGACCATCGTTATGTTTGGAGGAAAAAGGTGATGCTTGCAAGCCGAAGAACACAATCCCAAACCGTGAGGCACGGGGTGGCAGCATCATGCTGTGGGGGTGCTTTGCTGCAGGAGGGACTGGTGTACTTCACAAAATAGATGGCATCATGAGGAAGGAAAGTTATGTGGATATATTGAAGCAACATCTCAAGACATCAGTCAAGAAGTTAAAGCTTGGTCGCAAATGGGTCTTCCAAATGGACAATGACCCCAAGCATACTTCCAAAGTTGTGGCAAAATGGCTTAAGGACAACAAAGTCAAGGTATTGGAGTGGCCATCACAAAGCCCTGACCTCAATCCAATAGAAAATCTGTGGGCAGAACTGAAAAAGCGTGCGCAAGCAAGGAGGCCTACAAACCTGACTCAGTTACACCAGCTCTGTCAGGAGGAATGGGCCAAAACTCACCCAACTTATTGTGGGAAGCTTGTGGAAGGCTACCCGAACCATTTGACCCAAGTTAAACAATTTAAAGGCAATGCTACCAAATAATAATTGAGTGTATGTAAACTTCTGACCCACTGGGAATGTGATGAAAGAAATAAAAGGTGAAATAAATCACTCTCTCTACTATTATTCTGACATTTCACATTCTTAAAATAAAGTGGTGATCCTAACTGACCTAAAACGGGACATTTTTACTAGGATTAAATGTCAGGAATTGTGAAAAACTGAGTTTAAATGTATTTGTCTAAGGTGCATGTAAACTTCCGACTTCAACTTTTTTTCAGCTGTAGGTAATAATACAAGAAACGTTCTGAGCAAATAATGTAAAAAATAACACACACAAAAAAAAACAAAATACTGCAAAGTTGGCCAGGAGCTAGAAACAGGTTGACCGTGTCTGCCGGTGCCATCTTGTATTGGTCTAAGTAATGCTCAGGCATATGTGAAACATTTTTGGACAACCTTAGCCTCATGCCTCATCCCTACTCAAGGAGGGGTGAGGCTGAGGGTGTCCTAAAATGTACGCCATATATGAAAACGTGAATGCAGGACCAAAGTTCCCCCTTGCACTCTGTTTCAGTGAGAGGTAAATAAGGTCCTGGCTCTTTGTAGGGATGGATATGTATTTATTATTTTTGCTCAGTGATAATGGCACTAATTGTATTCCTTAATTCACAGCACCATTAGGATAACCAATGTCTGTCTGCGTCCGAAATGGCACGCTAATCACTATAAACTCTATAATGCACTACTTTTGACCATAAAATACACATTTTAATTGCAAGTGTAGACGTGTTAAATCTTGATCAGATAGTGATTGGATCATCTTGATGGGATAATGACGACCACATGTTAGCACCAGATATAAACGGGGCTAGAGATACACTTCTAGGGTCAATCCTTGGATTATATGTGATATGCACATGTCAATCTTCAAACACCATCTACTCTTGCCCATCAATGCATATTGTGGTTATGAAGATGATATGGGATCGCTCAAAATATGCTTTCTTGTTCTTCCATCTTATTATGAAAGCTATTGTATCATTGAGAAGAACCCACCTGACCAAAAAGGTCCAATTAGAAGGTTTTAATTAATCAACTCAAAATCCACAAACATTGCATGTTTAATTGAAAAATACATGACAGAACATAACACATTTAAGACACTGTTTTGTACAGTAAACTATATTATCTGCAAATCCGATGTCCAGAAACAAACAACAGTCCTATTATAATCTTCACACAATGTCCTCACCTGTTACAGAGAATGCACTACATAATGACTTTCACAAGAATGCCTGTTGAAATGACAAATAAGCAACCTTAACTTCTCCTTCCACATCATAATCACAATGTACCTTTTTAGACATTTACAAAATCCACCAATACACAATAACCATCCATTGATTCTCACAGATGCTGTGGAGAATCTTGTTTGAAATTGTTAAAAATACCAATTGCTCTTGCAGGATTGTGTTCTGTATATGTACATGATGTCCTTTTTTATTGTGCATGGGGTGTGTGATTGTGTACACCACACATTCATATTTACACACAGGTCATGTGATAACCCCAAAAATAAATGCAGAAATAATGCTCAATTCATGTTTGTCACCTGTGACTCAAAACATGTGAAACGTTGAATTTCAAATTATACAGTAGCTTCAATATGAAACAGTATTCAATCTCTGAGAGTTAGCTGGATTACCTGCTCAGCATGTGGAGCCAAGCCAGCTCTGACCCAGCTGACTCTAAATCTGGAGAAGCGTTTGCAAGGCAAAGGACTGTCTGCTGCTTTCTCCCCTTTTAGACTGATTCCACAGTGGTCCTGCTAGCTGTTCCTACAGTCTAATTTCTCCGACAGCTCAATCCATTCACAGTATTCTGTATTCTGGGAGGCCTATTTCACAGCCTGGTGCCTCCTCATACTTCCTCATCTCATCTTCCTCAGCCTCACACTTCCTCATCTCATCTCCCTCAGCCTCACACTTCCTCATCTCATCTCCCTCAGCCTCATACCTCCTCATCTCATCTCCCTCAGTCTCATACCTCCTCATCTCATCTTCCTCAGCCTCACACTTCCTCATCTCATCTTCCTCAGCCTCATGCGGTTCTCTTTGTCTCTCTTCTTCAGCACGATGATGAATTGGTTGAAGAAGTGCTCTTGGTCTTTCTTCTTCAGCACTTGCTTGAAGCGCAGGTCGCGGCCGTAGTTATCAGAAAACTCTTTGAAAGTTGACCTGGCAATAGAGAAAATAATAGATCATCCTTGAGAAAGGTGTTGGAGGGAGGATGGGATGTCTTCACAAGTCTAAATACAGTAAAAACTAGAGCTACTTGGTTCTTCAGTTTTTAGTCATGTTAGACAATTATGGTTTTGAAACACGCAAACATGCATAACTGTAGTATTTTTTTTTTGAAAAGCTCAGTAATTTGTTGTGTTTTTTTTAAATAAGCAGTTATTAGCAACAGTTATGAAAAAGAATAAGCAAGAGTTAAAAAAAGCCATAGAACACAGAGAACTATGTCCACACGGTTAGTCATTACCTAAAGAGAAAGATAGTCAGTTATAGAAGTATTGTAATCCAGAGAGAATTATTTTTGCTCATCACTGCGGTTGATTAAAGGGGAAAGCTAAATGGGAAGCCACAACATGCTGACAACAAGCAATCTTATTTTTCTTTTATTAACAAATCCCCTGATCCAGCAGCTTATTTACATCTTAAATTATATAGTCTTGAGAAAACAATATTCATTTTCCTCTTCCCCAAAGTCGACAGTTAATAATTTACTTTTCTTAGAATAACATGATCAATATCGTGAATTTTGCGTTATTATTTGTTTTGTTCAGCTTGATTTAAAAAGCATTCTTAATGCATCGTGCATCTATACAGGCTTGATTTCACTAGTGTGCTTTGGGCTATGAAGTTATTACAAGCTAATATTGGATTATATACACCACTGTTCAAAAGTTTGTGGTAACTTAGAAATGTTCTTGTTTTCAATTTGAGAAACAGGCGCCTCACAGATCCTCAACTGGCAGCTTCATTAAATAGTACCCGCAAAACACCAATGAAGAGGCGACTACGGGATGCTGACCTTCTAGGCAGAGTTGCAAAGAAAAAGGCATATGTCAGACTGGCCAATAAAAAGAAAAGATTAAGATGGGCAGTCTGAGATATGACTTTTTCTTTGCAATTCTGCCTAGAAGGTCAGCATCCCGAAGTCGCCTCTTCACTGTTGACGTTGAGAGGTGTTTTGCGGGTACTATTTAATGAAGCTGCCAGTTGAGGACCTGTGAGGCGCCTGTTTTTCAAATTAGACACTCTAATGTATTTGTCCTCTTGCTCAGTTGTGCACCGGGGCCTCCCACTCCTCTTTCTATTCTGGTTAGAGCCAGTTTGCGCTGTTCTGTGAAGGGAGTAGTACACAGTGTTGTACGAGATCTTCAGTTTCTTGGCAATTTCTCACATGGAATAGCCTTCATTTCTCAGAACAAGAATAGACTGACGAGTTTCAGAAGAAAGTTATTTGTTTCTGGCCATTTTTATCCTGTAATCGAACACACAATTGCTAATGCTCCAGATACTCAACTATTCTCAAGAAGGCCAGTTATATTGCTTCTTTAATCAGCACAACAGTTTTCAGCTGTGCTAACATAATTGCAAAAGGGTTTTCTAATGATCAATTAGCCTTTTAAAATGACAAACTTGGATTAGCAAACAAAACGTGTCATTGGAACACAGGACTGATGGTTGCTGATAATGGGCCTCTGTGCGCCTATGTAGATATTCCATTAAAAATCAGCCGCTTCCAGCTACAATAGCCATTTACAACATTAACAGTGTCTACACTATATTTCTGATAAATCTGATGTTATTTTAATGGAGAAAAAAAATGCTTTTCTTTCGTAAACAAGGACATTTCTAAGTGACCACAAACTTTTGAACGGTGGTGTATATACAGTTTTCACCCGCCTTGCCATTTTTCCTATTTTTTTATCTTACAACCTGGAATTAAAATGGATTTTTGGGGGGTTTGTATCATTTGATTTACACAACATGCCTACCACTTTGAAGATGCAAAATATTTTTTATTGTAAAAACAAACAAGAAATAAGACAAAAATCAGAAAACTTGAGCGTGCATAACTAATCACCACCCAAAGTCAATACTTTGTAGAGCCACCTTTTGCAGCAATTACAGCTGCAAGTCTCTTGGGGTATGTCTCTATAAGCTTGGCATATCTAGCCACTGGGATTTCTGCCCAATCTTCAAGGCAAAACTGCTCCAGCTCCTTCAAGTTGGATGGGTTCTGCTGGTGTACAGCAATCTTTAAGTCAAACCACAGATTCTCAATTGGATTGAGGTCTGGGCTTTGACTAGGCCATTCCAAGACATTTAAATGTTTCCCCTTAAACCACACGAGTGTTACTGTAGCAGTATGCTTAGGGTCATTGTCCTGTTGGAAGGTGAACCTCCGTCCCACCTAGGGATGGAAGAAGGTAATCTGGAAGAAGGTAATCATATGGAAGAAGGTAATCTGGTCAGATGAGACTAAAATGAAGCTTTTTGGCCATCAAGGAAAACACTATGTCCGGTGCAAACCCAACACCTCTCATCACCCCGAGAACACAAGTGTTTATTAACTGAGATCATGTGACAGATCATGTGACACTTAAATAAAAATATATTTTGATTTGTTTAACACGTTTTTGGTTACTACATGATTCCATATGTGTTATTTCATAGTTTTGATGTCTTCACTATTATTTTACAATACAGAAAATATAAAAAAATAAAGAAAAACCCTTGAATGAGTAGGTGTGTCCAAACTTTTGACTGGTAGTATATATACAGTGCCTTCGGAAAGTATTTAGACCCCTTGACTTTTTCCACATTTTGTTACGTTACAGCCTTATTCTAAAAATGATTAAATTGTTTTTTACACACCATACCCCATAATGACAAAAACAGGTTTTTAGGAATGTTTGCAAATCTATTAAAAATTAAAATAGAAATTTTAATACATAAGCATTCAGACCCATTACACAGCACTTTGTTGAAGCACCTTTGGCAGCGACTACAGCCTCAAGTCTTCTTGGGTATGACGCTACAAGCTTGGCACACCTGTATTTGGGGAGTTTTTCCCATTCTTCTCTGGAAATCCTCTCAAGCTCTGTCAGGTTGTCATCAAGGACCTCTCTGTGCTTTGCTACATTCATCTTTCCCTCGATCCTATCTAGTCTCCCAGTCCCTGCCGCTGAAAAACATCCCCACAGCATGATGCTGCCACCACCATGCTTCACAGTAGGGGATGGTCCCAGGTTTCCTCCAGACATGACGCTTGGCATTCAGTCCAAAGAGTTCAATCTTGGTTTCATCAAATCAGATCATATTTTTTCTCATGGTCTGAGAGTCTTTTGGTGCCTTTTGCAAACTCGATGCGGGCTGTCATGTGCCATTTACTGAGGAGTTGCTTCTCTGGCCACTCTACCGTAAAGGCCTGATTGGTGGAGAGCTGCAGATATAGTTGTCCATCTGGAAGGTTATCCCATCTCCACAGAGGAACTCTGGAGCTCTGTCAGAGTGAGAATAGTGTTTTTGGCCACCTCCGTGACCAAGACCCTTCTCCCCCGATTGTTCAGTTTGACCGGGCGGCCAGCTCTAGGAAGATTATTGGTGGTTCCAAACTTCTTCCATTTAAGAATGATGGAGGCCATTGTGTTCTTGGGGACCTTCAATCCTGCAGACATTTTTTGGTACCCTTCCCCAGATCTGTGCCTCGACACAATCCTGTCTCGGAGCTCTACGGACAATTCCGTCAACCTTCTGGCTTGGTTTTTGCTCTGACAAACAATGTCAACTGTGGGACCTTATATAGTCATGTGTGCCTTTCCAAATCATGTCCAATCAATTGAATTTACCATAGGTGGACTCCAATCAAGTTGTGGAACATTCTCAAGGAAGGGAATCAATGGGAGCAGGATGTACCTGAGCACAATTTCGAGTCTCATAATAAAGGGTCTGAATACTTTTTTTTATAAATGTGCTAAAATTTATAAAAATCTGTTTTCACATTGTCTTTATGGGGTATCGTTTGTAGATTAATGAGGAGAAAAATGTATTTAATCCATTTTAGAAAAAGGAGTAACATAACAAACTGTGGAAAAAGGGAAGAGGTCTGAATACTTTCTGAATGCACTGTATGTATTACATTATTAGTGGGGTGGTGGAGTTCTATATTACATTATTAGTGGGGTGGTGTAGTTCTATATTACATTATTAGTGGGGTGGTGTAGTTTTATATTACATTATTAGTGGGGTTGTGTATTCTATATTACATTATTAGTGGGGTGGTGTAGTTCAATATTACATTATAAGTGGGGTGGTGTAGTTCTATATTACATTATTAGTGGGGTGGTGTAGTTCTATATTACATTATTAGTGGGGTGATGGAGTTCAATATTACATTATTAGTGGGGTGGTGGAGTTCTATATTACATTATTAGTGGGGTGGTGGAGTTCTATATTACATTAATAGTGGGGTGGTGTAGTTCTATATTACATTATTAGTAGGGTGGTGTAGTTCTATATTACATTATTAGTGGGGTGGTGTAGTTCAATATTACATTATAAGTGGGGTGGTGTAGTTCTATATTACATTATAAGTGGGGTGGTGTAGTTCTATATTACATTATTAGTGGGGTGGTGTAGTTCAATATTACATTATAAGTGGGGTGGTGTAGTTCTATATTACATTATTAGTGGGTGGGTGTGTAGTTCTATATTACATTATTAGTGGGGGTGATGTAGTTCTTATTACATTATTAGTGGGGGTGGTGAAGTTCTATATTAAATTATTAGTGGGGTGGTGTAGTTCAATATTACATTCTGGCAGTGGGGTGGTGTAGTTCTATATTACATTATCAGTGGGGTGGTGTAGTTCAATATTACATTCTGACAGTGGGGTGGTGTAGTTCTATATTACATTATTAGTGGGGTGGTAAGTTCTATATTAAATTATTAGTGGGGTGGTGTATTTCAATATTACATTATTAATAGGGTGGTGTAGTTCTATATTACATTATTAGTAGGGTGGTGTAGTTCTATATTACATTATTTGTGGGGTGGTGTAGTTCTATATTACATTATTAGTGGGGTGGTATAGTTCAATATTACATTATTAGTGGGGTGGTGTAGTTCAATATTGCATTATTAGTGGGGTGGTGTAGTTCTACATTACATTATTAGTGGGGTGGTGTAGTTCTATATTACATTATTAGTGGGGTGGTGTAGTTCTATATTACATTATTAGTGAGGTGGTGTAGTTCTATATTACATTATTAGTGGGGTGGTGGAGTTCAAAATTACATTATAAGGGGGTTGGTGTAGTTCTATATTACATTATTAGTGGGATGGTGTAGTTCTATATTACATTATTAGTGGGGTGGTGTAGATCAATATTGCATTATTAGTGGGGTGGTGTAGTTCTATATTACATTAATAGTGGGGTTGTGTAGTTCTATATTACATTATTAGTGGGGTGGAGTAGTTCAATATTACATTATTAGTGGGGTGGTGTAGTTCTATATTACATTATTAGTAGGGTGATGTAGTTCTATATTATATTTTTAGTGGGGTGGTGTAGTTCTATATTACATTATTAGTGGGGTGGTGTAGTTCAATATTACATTATTAGTGGGGTGGTGTAGTTCAATATTAAATTCTGACAGTGGGGTGGTGTAGTTCAATATTACATTATTAGTGGGGTGGTGTAGTTCAATATTACATTCTGGCAGTGGGGTTGTGTAGTTCAATATTACATTATTAGTGGGGTGGTGTAGTTCAATATTACATTCTGGCAGTGGGGTGGTGTAGTTCAATATTACATTATTAGTGGGGTGGTGTAGTTCTATATTACATTATTAGTGGGGTGGTGTAGTTCAATATTACATTATTAGTGGGGTGGTGTAGTTCTATATTACATTATTAGTGGGGTGATGTAGTTCTATATTACATTATTAGTGGGGTGGTGAAGTTCTATATTAAATTATTAGTGGGGTGGTGTAGTTCAATATTACATTCTGGCAGTGGGGTGGTGTAGTTCTATATTACATTATCAGTGGGGTGGTGTAGTTCAATATTACATTCTGACAGTGGGGTGGTGTAGTTCTATATTACATTATTAGTGGGGTGGTGTAGTTCTATATTAAATTATTAGTGGGGTGGTGTATTTCAATATTACATTTTTAGTAGGGTGGTGTAGTTCTATATTACATTATTAGTGGGGTGGTGTAGTTCTATATTACATTATTAGTGGGGTGGTGTAGTTCTATATTACATTATTAGTGGGGTGGTGTAGTTCTATATTACATTCTGACAGTGGGGTGGTGTAATTCTATATTACATTATTAGTGTGGTTGTGTAGTTCAATATTACATTATTAGTGGGGTGGTGGTGTTCCATATTACATTATTAGTGGGGTGGTGTAGTTCTATATTACATTCTGGCAGTGGGGTGGTGTAGTTCTATATTACATTATTAGTGGGGTGGTGGTGTTCTATATTACATTATTAGTGGGGTGGTGTAGTTCTATATTACATTCTGGCAGTGGGGTGGTGTAGTTCTACCAGACATGCCTTTGCTCTCTGCCTGAGACAACATACAGGAAGGACGGCTGCCTGTTTAAACGCAGACAATGACACACAGATCCCACACATACCTATACATATACATGTTGAATAACTATTATGAAGTATAAAGCTACTTTGCATGAAGCTATTATGAAACTTTGTTGAAAAGCTATTTTGAAGTATGAAGCAATTTTGCATAAACCTACTACGAAGCTTTGTTGAATAGCTGTTATGAAGTATGAAGCTATTTTGTATGATGCTATTATGAAGCTTTGTTGAATAGTTAAAATCCCCTACTGTACCTGTAATGTATTATACAGTTAGCTGCAGATTTTACCTGGATGTGATTTTGGACTCCTCTAGCAGTTTTCTATACTGGTCTTTTGCTTGCAGCAGTTGGCTCTTTTTCTCCCTGTATTCGTCCTTCATCCTCACTTTGACAAACTGGTCAAACACCTGGAGGTAGGGACACAATCATGGTCGGCACAAGAAAATGACTTTGAAGGTCTTTACAAGGCAAATACGACGGCTGTATCCTAATACTCTTCACCGTCGACTTAACTCCTCTCACGTTGACTGACAGGATAAATCAAATCAAAACGTTACTGGTCACGTACACATATTTAGCAGATGTTATTGCTGGTGTAACGAAACGCTTGTGTTCCTAGCTTCAACAGTGCAGTAATATCTAACAATTCACAACAATATACACAAATCTAAAAGTAAAAGAATGGAATTAAGATATATGGACATATTATTATGAGCAACGTTGGAGTCCGGAGTATAAATATATATATGTATATATGTGATAGGATGTACAGACATTATGGACAGTATGTGGATAGAATAAATAGTGTATAATAATAATAATAATATGCCATTTAGCAGACGCTTTTATCCAAAGCGACTTACAGTCATGCGTGCATACATTTTTACGTATGGGTGGTCCCGGGGATCGAACCCACTACCCTGAGCGTTACAAGCGCCGTGCTCTACCAGCTGAGCTACATACGATAGAATAGTATATGTACAGCAATATTTGAATAGGATGGACTTGACTAGAATACAGTATATACTGTACATATGAAGTGGGTAAAACAGTATGTAAACATTATTAAAAAAGTGACCAGTGTTCCATGTCTATGTACATAGGGCAATGCAACATGACAAAAACCTCAACAAGTCATCCCAAAGGTTTTTGCGGAGTTTTACCGACATAATGCTTTCTCCGAGGACACAAATGACAGTAATCATATATTGGGAGCATATCCATTAGGACAGCTTCCCTCCATCCAATCATAACAGCAGGATCAACGTACAGCCCGCCCTTCTCTTTACAGACAAGCAAACTAGCCAGTTGACTTATTTAGACCACTGAGCACCTTGCACTTGATTGAAAGATGCGCACTGCCACCCAATGTATTATTTTTTCCGATCACAGATAATTACAAAAAATACTCGGATCATAATCGTATCAGGAAATATCCACTAGGATACTTGTTTTGTCTTAATTCTTGGCACACCCCCCTAGTATCCATGCTGTCTCGGACTTTGAAGGGAAATTGGATTGGTCCTTTTAATCAAACAGGACCATTTAAGAGAGGACATCCAGCAGAGTTCACCTGTTTCCTCTCTTCTGCAGAGGTGAGCAGAAGATACCGCGGATCAAACACAATCTTGTGCAGTTCTTTCTCCCATGTAGAAAAAGCTGAAACCTGAAAAGGAAGAGAAACCATATTCAAGAAGACATTCGGTACATCCAAACTGTAACATGATGTAGGTATTTCCATCATACATCCAAATTGCAACATAATCTAGGTCTTTCCATCATTTAGAGTTTTTGCTGCTTGTGCAGTTCCTGGTCCCTGTGTCCCTTGACGATTAGTTGCAATACAGGGATTTGAGTCCCCATATGGATTTAGTTATTTTCTCAGGGAAAACCATTAGAATCTAGGTCCGTCTCTGTGGCTGCATTTATACAGGCAGCCCAAATCGGATAATTGTTTCACTAACCGGTCTTTTGACCAAATCAGATCACATCTGAAAAAATATATCTGATGTGAAAAGATCTGATGTGACTGTTCAAAAGACCCAATTTAGTGGAAAATATATCAGAATTGGGCTGCCTGTCTAAACTCAGCCTAAGTGCATTTAAGATTTTGTATTCCGTTCAAAAAATGACTTTACCCGTCTTTCAAGGAGCATGTCCCTGAAGTGCGTGATACGTAGCTCTAAAGGTAGAACAGTCCGATGGGGAGGAGTGCCGAATGTCTCTCCGCCTGCCGTCTCTCTCAGGTCCCGATTGGCTTCCGCAGGTTCCTCCAGTCTGAGGAGGACACAAACAAAGAAACAGTTGTAGGATGCGTCCCAAATAGCACCCTACTCCCTATACAGCGATCTACTTTTGACCAGGGCCGACAGCGCTTCTGGTTAAAAGTAGTGTACAGTACTGTACAGTGTATTTGTACATTATCATTTTTTACAAAAAGTACTCCCATGACTTCAAAAATATGATTGTTCTGTAGAGAAGTATCATTGTAATGCTATACTATGAGTATGGTTAAGATGGGAAAAACCTTCGGACACTCACTTGTTCCTCTTGGTTTTTGAATAATGCTCTTCATCATCATCATCATCATCATCATCATCGTCATCAGCAGACGGAGAGTTAGAATCATCCTCTGCTGAGATAACGGACACACAGACAGAACCAAAGCACACATCCTTTTTCAATGGACTCAGACTTCATATGATTGGTCATTAAAATCCACTGTGAATTAGCATCGTCATTAGCTGACGGAGAGTTACTTAGAACCATCCTCTGCTAAGAGAATGGATACACAGAGGAACCATAGATAGCACACATCCTTTTTTCAATGGACTCCGACTTCATAACATCGGTCATTAAAAACCACTATGAGAGAATCTATCAGACTAGAGTAGCGTTGCTGCCCACCATCTTATCAGCCAAGAGTCAATGTTCAGGTCATTGGGGTTGTCCACATATTTACCAAAGCTAATTTGCCAGACATGCTTTGTTGGAACAGTGAAGTTCAGACAGGTAAAAGGTCATCGATACATAATCAGCTGGTAACCGCAATAAGGCTAAATCAATAGAGACAAACCACCCTCTGGGAAATCTAGTCAGGGGAGATAATATCTTTGCTGACAAGTTCCAATGTAATTCAATATTTACAGAGCCAGTCACACGTAGGACTTCCATGTGATCTATTCTGCTAGAACACAAAAGGAGATGGGATGCATCCCAAATGGAACCCTATTACCGATATAGTGATCTATATTTTAACCAGAGCCCTATGGACCCTATAGGCCCTGGTCTAAAGTAGTGCACTAAATAGGGAATAGGGTGGCATTTGGGACCCAGCCATGAGATGGTTTCACATCCTAAAGGTTCCACGTTGGATTTTCCATTCGTGATCATCATCTGCTTCAATGAACACAGGCATCAAGATCCTCTGGTAGTCTGGGGTCGACAGGCAATGGAACCCGAAACACTGTATATAGGATCTAGTATATCAGGATGATCAGGATGATCATTCGATGATGCATTTTATTGGCCTCCATATTAACAGATCATTAAAAACACGTTGGAATCATTACAAAAAAAAAACAGCGGACTGATAACGAGCTTTTCAGTTCCATCTGAAGCCACGGCCGGGTAAATACCCACTTCGTTAAGAACCGTTCTAACTGGGTCCAACTCTACGGAGGGATGAGACCAAGCCAATGGGGAAGAAGAACCATTAACTTACTGGACAAACAATCCTTTTTGCGTTTATGTGGAGGATCTTCTATAATCCGGTTGAGATCCTCTCCGCGGTCCTTCAGATCTACCGGCTGGTCCCAAACAGAGAGTTGTATCGTCGGGTTGAAGAAGAATACTCTGTCGTCACCCGTCCACACCACACACCTGAGGAGAGATTAGCGTGAAAAAATGCAAGGATGCCAATTGGATCAGTAATGCCTGACCAGTTCCCACTGGTGTGTGTGTCACGCCAGATAATAGAGATGGTGGTTGCCTGTCAAGGATAAACGTGTGTTTTGTAGACTCGAGCGCCAGTACGCTGCCTCTGTCAGGTCTTAACTTTCCTTCAAGTTGATGTTCCACTCTTTGAACCCTTTGAAACGGCACACTACAATAATATTGTTCTACATTTTAGTCATTTAGCAGACGCTCTTATCCAGAGCGACTTACAGTTAGTGAGTGCATACATTATTTTTTTAAATTATTTTTTCATACTGGCCCCCCCATGGGAATCGAACCCACAACCCTGCTGATATCATCCCTGCCAGCCATTCCCTTTCCTACCCTGGACCAATTGTGCGCCGCCCCATGGGTCTCCCGGTCGCGGCCGGCTACGACAGAGCCTGGATTCAAACCAGGATCTCTAGTGGCACAGCTAGCACTGCGATGCAGTGCCTTAGACCACTGCGCCACTCGGGAGACTCGGGAGTTCTAAACACACACCTGGGGAGAAAAGGGGGTAGAACCAAAAAGCATTCCATGAGATAACGAACACAGTATTATAGGACATGGTCCTTTGTGGCGCCGTTGTTAGGGAAGCTTGCAACACCAGGGTTGTTGGGTTCGATTCCTGTTGGGGGCCACCCATAAGAAAATGCATGCACGCACTACTGTAAGTCGCTTTGGATAAAAAGTGTCTGTGAAATGACAGATATGATTGTATACTGTAAACTGTATTATATTCTACATTGGTATAATGTAATTAAGAAATACGTTGACGAATATATGCTCTATGTAGTAATATGGACGTAACCACTGTAGTTATATGTCACTTAGTCTGACATGACATGTTACAGAATGTACTAGAATGTAATAGTTGATGTATTTCAGTTTATGGAGTAGGAGATGGTTTCTGTGGCATATTTGTTCCTGTTGTCTGTTATTACCTCAGAGCTCTTACTCCTAAAGACATTATGTATTTAAAGCCACAGGAGTATTAACCGCTGCAATATGAATCCCTGGAATAATTCAATACGTCTTCATGCTCACCATGTGAAATAAATTGTGAAGTTTTAAATCCTCATATTATCCGGTTGTGAGCTGTCCTTTTTATAGGATATCACATATTTAATTGGTATATACCCTGGCTAGCTAGCTCTCAGCCATGAGATGATATTCACACAGCAGACAGGTATTGGAATATCTGATAATCTGCCACGATGAACCTCTCACGAGACCTTTCAATATTAGAATCATCAAAATAGGTTGGATTTGATTTGTTTACCAAATATTTGCTTTAAAAAAAAAAATGTATTTTGATATTTTAATCCAATAGTCACATAATAAAAGCTGATGAATGAAAAGGTTAACACAGGGTGATATGGTTTAAAAACCAGCGCACCGTTAGGTGTTGAGCTGAGAAAGTGTTGCAAATGACAGGTTTCATGTAGTGCCTTTCAAGTCTGCTCTCAGCATCAACACACGCTGACAGACAGAAAGCTATTACATGGAGAGAATAACAAAACAAGTCCATTGAAGAACAGATTGCACCGCTCTGCAGACAGATATGGCAGGGCTTATTGCGCCATTGTCCCTGGTACAAGTTGTTCATTGTCGGGACTGAAATGCTTTTTCTATCAAAGGTTTGCCACAGTGTGTTTATTTTTTTCTGTCGATTGAAAGTAATTTGTACATACTTCGAGCGATTATTCCTCAGGTATGAAGTCCATGATTACAGTGTTTTCCTGACATTTTCAAGTAATATGAGATCAGAAAGAATAACCATATATAAAATATGGTTTTCAAGAACAAGTGAAGAAAGTAGAGACATGATTCCACATGACATGATTGCAGTTACTGTTTTATTAACTTTAGCTAGTGGTGGAAAAAAGTACCCAATTGTCATACTTGAGTAAAAGTAAAGATACCTTAATAGAAAATGACTCAAGTAAAAGTTAAAGTCAACCAGTAAAATACTACTTCAGTAAAAGTCTTAAAGTAATCAAATCTCACATTGTTGTCAATTTTTGCTCAATCTCGCATGCTTTCTCAAACAGCTTTAACTGTATATGCATTTGTGTATGCATTCGTAATATCAGGTCCTTTCTTGAGTTTGGGCTCTGGGATGTAACAACCGTTGAGCATCTGATTTTATGGTTGATTGTGGAGGAAAGGGGTTGAGTGTGTTGGAGTATGTGCGTGTGTGTTTATCCCACATCTGTTGCAAGGGGGTAAGGATGTTAGGGAGAATATAGGATGAACCACAATAATTGTTTGCTAAAATAATAATTGCTTGTCAAAAATGTAATGTAATACGATGGCAATCCGGGTTATAGGTTAAAATCCTACGCATGAACTGCCAACATTATTATGGGGCTTTAGCAGGGGAATTGGAGGGTTACTTAGTAGCAATGCAAATATCATGGTACAGCTATATGGACACTCAATCACTACCAATTGAGCAATTTTTTATTGGCAAATGTACAAACATATATAATGATAAATAGATTTGAAACTTGTATCTCATTATGGTATATGGTGAAATAGGTATAGCAAGTTATAATTGTAATGGCTTAGCATTAGGGGGGGGGGGGGGGGGGGGGGGGGGGGATATGCTTATCCCATGGGCAAAGAAACTCAAAAGGGGTAATGATATTAATTAACAGTAATTTCGATCCGAATGTGCAAATTGTCCAAACAGATACGCAAGGTAGATGGATTGTTTTAAAAACATTATTGGACCATAAACAGATATGGCTCATTAACCTTTACGGACCAAATAATGATGATCCACACTTCTTTGACAATATATATAATAAATTATCAAACCTGCAAGCAATTCAATACTCTATTATTATGGTGGGAGATTATAATACCGTTTTAAATAGCTCAATGGACCGTAAAGGACATCACACTACAAACAAACACCCTCATGCTCTTAAGGAAATAATGAATGTCATGGATACATTAGAACTAGTAGATATATGGAGGCTTAAATATCCTGATCTAGTGAGATATACAGTGGGGAAAAAAAGTATTTAGTCAGCCACCAATTGTGCAAGTTCTCCCACTTAAAAAGATGAGAGAGGCCTGTAATTTTCATCATAGGTACACGTCAACTATGTGGCGATGCAGTGGTCTAAGGCACTGCATCGCAGTGCTAACTGTGCCACTAGAGATCCTGGTTCGAATCCAGGCTCTGTCGCAGCCGGCCGCGACCGGGAGACTCATGGGCGGCGCACAATTGGCCCAGCGTCGTCCAGGGTAGGGGAGGGAATGGCCGGCAGGGATGTAGCTCAGTTGATAGAGCATGGCGTTTGCAACGCCAGGGTTGTGGGTTCGTTTTCCGGGGGGGGCAGTATAAAAAAAAATATATATATATATATATATATGTATTCACTAACTGTAAGTCGCTCTGGATAAGAGCGTCTGCTAAATGACTAAAATGTAAATGTAAACTATGACAGACAAATTGAGATTTTTTTTTCTCCAGAAAATCACATTGTAGGATTTTTAATGAATTTATTTGCAAATTATGGTGGAAAATAAGTATTTGGTCACTTACAAACAAGCAAGATTTCTGGCTCTCACAGACCTGTAACTTCTTCTTTAAGAGGCTCCTCTGTCCTCCACTCGTTACCTGTATTAATGGCACCTGTTTGAACTTGTTATCAGTATAAAAGACACCTGTCAACAACCTCAAACAGTCACACTCCAAACTCCACTATGGCCAAGACCAAAGAGCTGTCAAAGGACACCAGAAACAAAATTGTAGACCTGCACCAGGCTGGGAAGACTGAATCTGCAATAGGTAGGCAGCTTGGTTTGAAGAAATCAACTGTGGGAGCAATTATTAGAAAATGGAAGACATACAAGACCACTGATAATCTCCCTCGATCTGGGGCTCCATGCAAGATCTCACCCTGTGGGGTCAAAATGATCACAAGAACGGTGAGCAAAAACCCCAGAACCACACGGGGGGACCTAGTGAATGACCTGCAGAGAGCTGGGACCAAAGTAACAAAGCCTACCATCAGTAACACACTACGCCACCAGGGACTCAAATCCTGCAGTGCCAGACGTGTCCCCCTGCTTAAGCCAGTACATGTCCAGGCCCGTCTGAAGTTTGCTAGAGTGCATTTGGATGATCCAGAAGAGGATTGGGAGAATGTCATATGGTCAGATGAAACCAAAATAGATCTTTTTGGTAAAAACTCAACTCGTCGTGTTTGGAGGACAAAGAATGCTGAGTTGCATCCAAAGAACACCATACCTACTGTGAAGCATGGGGGTGGAAACATCATGCTTTGGGGCTGTTTTTCTGCAAAGGGACCAGGACGACTGATCCGTGTAAAGGAAAGAATGAATGGGGCCATGTATCGTGAGATTTTGAGTGAAAACCTCCTTCCATCAGCAAGGGCATTGAAGATGAAACGTGGCTGGGTCTTTCAGCATGACAATGATCCCAAACACACCATCCGGGCAACGAAGGAGTGGCTTCGTAAGAAGCATTTCAAGGTCCTGGAGTGGCCTAGCCAGTCTCCAGATCTCAACCCCATAGAAAATCTTTGGAGGGAGTTGAAAGTCCGTGTTGCCCAGCGACAGCCCCAAAACATCACTGCTCTAGAGGAGATCTGCATGGAGGAATGGGCCAAAATACCAGCAACAGTGTGTGAAAACCTTGTGAAGACTTACAGAAAACGTTTGACCTGTGTCATTGCCAACAAAGGGTATATAACAAAGTATTGAGAAACTTTTGTTATTGACCAAATACTTATTTTCCACCATAATTTGCAAATAAATGTATTAAAAATCCTACAATGTGATTTTCTGGATTTTTTTCTTCTCATTTTGTCTGTCATAGTAGACGTGTACCTATGATGAAAATTACAGGCCTCTCTCATCCTTTTAAGTGGGAGAACTTGCACAATTGGTGGCTGACTAAATACTTTTTTTCCCCACTGTATGTTTTTGTTTCAGTCGCCTCCATCTCCTCTAACTGAAGCTAATTGCAGAGATATTTTTTCTATTGATAATGTAAAATTAACAGCCATACAGAAAGACTCAAGTGAAGTTGAAATTATAGAGGAGGAAATTCTGGACGCAATTAAAGACTTTAAGTCCGGGACAACTCCAGGTTTGGATGGCATACCAGTCGAGGTATACCAAACCTTTTTTGATATACTCAAAGGACCGTTATTAGCATGTTTTAATCACTCCTATGTAAATGGTAGATTATCAGACACTCAAGAAGAAGGTCTGATTTCATTATTACTGAAACAGGATACAAGTGGAAAATATAAAGATCCAGTCCATTAAAAAAATTGGAGGCCCCTTACACTTCAGTGTTGTGATGCAAAAATTCTAGCAAAATGTATAGCGCATAGAATTAAAAAGGTATTGTCGGACTTTATTCATTCTAATCAGACAGTTTTTTTACATGGAAGATACATTGGAGATAACAAAAGGCAAGTACTGGAAACAAGAGAACACAATGGAAAATCTGGGAAACCAGGCCTGCTATTCATAGCAGACTTCGAAAAGGCATTTGATAAAGTACGACTGGGGTTTATATATAAATGCCTGGGGCATTTCAATTTTGGAGAATCTCTTATAAAATGGGTTAAAATCATGTATAGTAACCCTAGGTGTAAAATAGTAAATAATGGCTATTTCTCAGAAAGTTTTAAACTGTCAAGAGGAGTGAAACAAGGTTGTCCACTATCGGCATATCTATTTATTATGGCCATCGAGATGTTAGCTATTAAAATCAGATCCAACAATAATATCAAGGGATTAGAAATCCAGGGTTTAAAAACAAAGTTGTCATTGTACGCTGATGATTCATGTTTTCTTTTAAATCCACAACTTGAATCCCTCCACAGCCTCATAGAGGATCTAGATACATTTTCTAACCTCTCTGGATTAGAAACAAATTATGATAAATGCACTATATTACGTAATCGTTCACTAAAAAATAAAATGTTTACATTACTATGTAGTTTAACAATAAAATGGTCTGATGGTGATGTGGATATACTCTGAATACATATCCCAAGTGAAATAAATGATCTCACTCCAATAAATGTTAATAGAAAGTTAGCAAAATAGATAAGATCTAGCTACCATGGAAAGGTAAATACCTGTCAATTTGTGGAAAAATCACCCTGATTAACTCTTTAGTATTATCCCAGTTTACCTATTTGCTTATGGTCTTGCCTACGCCTAGCGAACAGTTTTTTAAACTATATGAGAAAAAAATATTCAATTTTATTTGGAACGGCAAGCCAGACAAAATTAAAAGGGCCTATTTATATAATGAATATGAATTTGGAGGACAGAAATTATTAAGTATTAAAGCATTAGACCTATCACTAAAAGCTTCAGTCATACAAAAGTTATACTTAAATCCAAACTGGTTCTCTAGCAAATTAGTAAGATTGTCTCACCCAATGTTTAAGAATGGACTTTTTCCCTTTATTCAGATTACAACCTCTCACTTTCAGTTATTTGAAAAGGAAATAATCTCCCAAATATCACTTTTTCTAAAACAAGCCATAGAAAGTTGGCTGCGATTTCAATTTAATCCTCCAGAAACGACAGAACAAAAAAATGCAACAAATATTGAGGTTAAACTCAAATATAATAATTGATAAAAATGTTGCATGTATGTGTGTGTATATATATATATATATATATATATATATATATATATATATATGCGAGAGAAAAAAGTGTTGCAGACAATTACATTGATGGAAGTTACAATCTATCTGCAATATTAAAGCCGATCTACCCCCTAAATAAATAAAAAAAGACAAAGAAAAAGTCTAAAAGTATTTGGTTTTAAATATACTTAAGTATCAAAAGTACATGTAATTGCTAAAATATACTTACGTATCAAAAGTTAAAGTTAAAGTATAAATAATTTCAAATTCCTTATATTAAGGAAACCAGACTGGACCATTTTCTTGTTTTTAAATTTACGGATAGCCAGGGGCACACTCCAACGGGCACACTCCAACACACAGACATAATTTACAAACTAAACATGTGTTTAGTGAGTCCGCCAGATCAGAGGCAGTATGGATGACCAGGGATGTTCTCTTGATCAGAGGCAGTATGGATGACCAGGGATGTTCTCTTGATAAGAGACAGTATGGATGACCAGGGATGTTCTCTTGATCAGAGGCAGTATGGATGACCAGGGATGTTCTCTTGATAAGAGGCAGTATGGATGACCAGGGATGTTCTCTTGATAAGAGGCAGTATGGATGACCAGGGATGTTCTCTTGATAAGAGGCAGTATGGATGACCAGGGATGTTCTCTTGATAAGAGGCAGTAGGGATGACCAGGGATGTTCTCTTGATAAGAGGCAGTATGGATGACCAGGGATGTTCTCTTGATAAGAGGCAGTATGGATGACCAGGGATGTTCTCTTGATAAGAGGCAGTAGGATGACCAGGGATGTTCTCTTGATAAGAGGCAGTAGGGATGACCAGGGATGTTCTCTTGATAAGAGGCAGTATGGATGACCAGGGATGTTCTCTTGATAAGAGGCAGTATGGATGACCAGGGATGTTCTCTTGATAAGAGGCAGTATGGATGACCACTGATGTTCTCTTGATAAGAGGCAGTATGGATGACCAGGGATGTTCTCTTGATAAGTGGCAGTATGGATGACCAGGGATGTTCTCTTGATAAGTGCGTGAATTGGACCATTTTACTTTTGGGGTGTCAGGGAAAATGTCTGGAGTAAAAACCACATTGCCTCTCTGATTACTGCCCTCCTTGCCTGGTCCGTGAGTTTTGGTTGGCGGCCCTCTCTTGGCAGGTTTGTTGTGGTGCCATATTCTTTCAATTTTTTTATAATGGATTTAATGGTGCTCCGTGGAATGTTCAAAGTTTCTGATATTTTTTTATAACCCAACCCTGATCTGTACTTCTCCACAGCTTTGTCCCTGACCTGTTTGGAGAGCTCATTGGTATTCATGGTGCCGCTTGCTTGGTGGTGCCCCTTGCTTAGTGGTGTTGCAGACTCTGGGGCCTTTCAGAACAGGCATATATATACTGAGATCATGTAACACTTAGATTGCACACAGGTGGACTTTATTTAACTAATTATGTGACTTCTGAAGGTAATTGGTTGCACCAGATCTTATTTAGGGGCTTCATAGCAAAGGGGGTGAATACATCTGCACGCACCACTTTTCCGTTATTTATTTTTTGAAAAAAGTTATTTTTTTCATTTCACGTCACCAGTTTGGACTATTTTGTGTATGTCCATTACATGAAATCCCAGATAAAAATAAATTTAAATTACAGGTTGTAATGCAACAAAATAGGAAAAACGCCATGGGTGATGAATACTTTTGCAAGGCACTGTAGTACTTGAAAGTATTTTTACTTAAGTACTTTACACAACTTACTTTAGCCAAATAGTCTTTTTCATGTTTGGTGTCAGGGATGACTGGAATGGGCCGGATTCTTAAAGAGTTGTTCACATTTGTTAAACATGTTCTTTCAGTTTATTCAATCATTGACCAATCCTGGCAAGAGAATGTCATAATATTGTGTAAAGGGATGTTACCATGGAGATCCGGGAACAGGGGTGGAAGCTACAGGACGCTTGTCTTTAGGTTCAACGTCCTCCTCCTCCTCCATGGGGACCTCTACCATCTCCTGCTACAACACACACACACACACACACACACACACACACACACACACACACACACACACACACATACACATACACACATACACACACAGAGAGAGAGAAACACACACACACACACACACAGAGAAACACACAAATACAGAGAGCGAGAGAGAGAGAAAGAGACACACACACACAGAGAGAGAGAGAGAGAGAGAGAGAGAGAGAGAGAGAGAGAGAGAGAGAGAGAGAGAGAGAGAGAGAGAGAGAGAGAGAGAGAGAGAGAGAGAGAGAGAGAGGAGAGAGAGAGAGACAGGAGAGAGAGAGAGAGAGAGAGAGAGAGAGAGAGAAGAGAGAGAGAGAGAGAGAGAGAGAGAGAGAGAGAGACACACACACATAGGTCAGAGGGCAGGACTAACACAACACAGACACCATTTTGTCACTGTGAAGCCATCCTAAACCGTACTGTGCTTGGTCAGATATTTTACTTTCAATTTGTCTTTTCCAGGTGCCAGCAGCGATGTGTAACCAGTCCAGGTGAGAACAGAGAGGTGTGGCTTGATGCCAATAATGGGTTCCCAAATACGAACAGAGCAATAGATAGCAACCACATCGCCATAAAAATCACCATCCCAAATGATTGTAATTATGTGAACAGAAAATGGCTTCCACTCTTAATGTGCAGGCGATAAGTTATGTGATGCGCAAAAGAATGCTGAATGTGGTGGCCAGGTGGGACGCACGACTCCTTCATTCTGCAGAACAGCAACGTTGGCATGTAGTTCTACAGGAGGGAGCTGTTGAGGATGGATGGGTTATTGGTGAGTGTTGCCTACTCATTTGAAGTATATCTTCCATTGCTAAAGCAACTTGAATTGTCCTAATGGTCCTCTATTAGTAGCTATGTTTTTACAGGTCGAGCCACAACTGAGCGAGACAAATAAAACCTTTTGTTTGTACTCAATCTGACACCAACACCTCTATTTCAGTCTCAGTATTTATTTATTTTTCTTGGCATTTTTTGGTTCATGGTATGGCATTGTATATTCCCAATGGGTTAAAGGGAGGATTTTGACCATACAGTGCATTCGAAAAGTTTTCAGACCGCTAGAATTTTTCCACATTTTGTTAGGTTACAGCCTTATGGATTAAATAGTTTTTTTTTCCTCATCAATCTACACACAATACCCCATAATGTCAAAGCAAAAACTGGTTTTTAGAAATGTTTGCAAATGTATAAAATAAAACTGAAATATCAAATTTACATAAGTATTCAGACCCTTTACTCAGTACTTTGTTGAAGCACCTTTGGCAGGGATTACATCATTGAGTCTTCTTGAGTATGACGCTACAAGCTTGGCACACCTGTATTTGGGGAGTTTTCCCATTCTTCTCTGCAAATCCTCTCAAGCTCTGTCAGGTTGGATGGGGAGCGTCGCTGCACAGCTATTTTCAGGTCTCTCCAGAGATGTTAGATCGGGTTCAAGTCCGGGCTCTGGCTGGGCCACTCAAGGACATTCAGGGGCTTGTCCCGAAGCCACTCCTGCATTGTCTTGGCTGTGTGCTTAGGGTCATTGTCCTTTGGAAGGTGAACCTTTGCCCCAGTCTGAGGTCCTGAGCGCTCAGGAGCAGGTTTTCATCAAGGACCTCTCTGTACTTTGCTATATTCATCTTTCCGTCGATCCTGACTAGTCTCCCAGTCCCTGCCGTTGAAAAACATCCCCACAGCATGATGCTGCCGCCACCACGCTTCACCGTAGGGATGGTGCCAGGTTTCCTCCAGACGTGACGCTTGACATTCAGGCCAAAGAGTTCAATCTTGGTTTCATCAGACCAGAGAATCTTGTTTCTCATGGTCTGAGAGTCTTTAGGTGCCTTTTGGCAAACTCCAAGCAGGCTGTCATGTGCCTTTTACTGAGGAGTGGCTTCCATATTTTGTATTTCTATTCATTATGGATCACCATTAGCCAAGGTAGCAGCTACTCTTCCTGGGGTCCAGCAAAATTAAGGCAGTTCATACAATTTAAAAAAACATTACAATACATTCACACATTTCACAACACACTGTGTGCCCTCAGGCCCCTACTCCACCACTACCACATATCTACAGTACAAAAATCCATGTGTGTATAGTGCGTATGTTATCGTGTGTGTGTGTATGCATGTGTCTGTGCCTATTTTTGTGTTGCTTCACAGTCCCCGCTGTTCCATAAGGTGTTTAATTGTATGTTTTTTTAATCTAATTTTAATACTTGCATCAGTTACTTCATGTGGAATAGAGTTCCATGTAGTCTGGCCACTCTACCATAAAGGCCTGATTGGTGGAGTGCTGCAGAGATGGTTGTCCTTCTGGAAGGTTCTCTCATCTTCACAGGGAAACTCTAGAGCTCTGTCAGAGTGACCATCGGGTTGGTCACCTCACTGACCAAGGCCTTTCTCCCCCGATTGCTCAGTTTGACCGGGCGGCCAGCTCTAGGAAGAGTTTTGGTGGTTCCAAACTTCTTCCATTTCAGAATGATGGAGGCCGCTGTCTTCTTGGGGACCTTCAATCCTGTAGAAATGTTTTGGTACCCTTCCCCTGTGCCTCGACACACTCCTGTCTCAGAGCTCTACTGACATTTCCTTCGACCTCATGGTTTGGTTTTTGCTCTGACGTGCACTGTCAACTGTGGGACCTTATATAGACAGGTGTGTGCCTTTCCAAATCATGTCCAATCAATTGAATTGACCACAGGTGGACATCTCAATGATGATCAATGGAAACAGGATTCACCTGACCTCAATTTCGAGTCTCATAGCTAAGGGTCTGAATACTTCTGTAAATAAGGCATTTATCTTTTATCTGCAAAAAAAAAATGGGGTATTGTGTGTAGATTGATGAGGATTTTTTTTCTTTTATTCGTTTTAGAATAAGGCTGTAACGTAACAAAATGTGGAAAAAGGGAAGGGGTCTGAATACTTTCTGAATGCTCTGTATGTGGTTAATTAGGGGTGTTCCGTAATGCAAACAGCCAAGGACGTGCACAAGCACTGAGGCTGAGAACCATTGGTGTTTATCAATGGTTATCTCCCACCGCATATGATGCTCGTAGGATAAATCACACTGTCACGGATTCAGCCGAGGCTGCTCCTCCTCCTCGCTCGGGCAGGCTTCGGCGTTCATCGTCGCCGGAGTACTAGCTGCCGCCGATCTATGTTTCTGTGTTCTACTTGTTTTGTCTTTATTGTTCACACCTGGTTCCCATGATGTATTGATGCCTTCCCTATTTAACCCTCTGGCTCCCACTGTGTGTTGTGCGTGTTTGTCCGTGTTTTGGTTGTCGTCTGGTGAGCGGGTGTGTTCCTCCCTGCGTGGAGGGTGTGTTATTTACGTTACCTACGAGTAAAGTACGCTTTCGATTAGCTCTGTGTCCTGCGCCTGACTTCGTCCTACCGCATCACACTGACCTCCTGACACACACTTTTTCTGTGCATACGACCATTCTTAATTGCTTTCATACAGTAAGTAGTATTTTTCGAATGGTTTATACGCTAATGTTGATAAATAAGGCCCCAGGACTTCAGTCTTTGTGTTGCCTTGCATTTCATATCTGTCCTCCCAGTATCTGTCTCTGTCTGCTATCGGTCTCTGTCTGCTATCGGTCTCTGTCTGCTATCGGTCTCTGTCTGCTATCGGTATCTGTCTGCTATCGGTCTCTGTGTGCTATCGGTCTCTGTCTGCTATCGGTCTCTGTGTGCTATCTGGGTCTGGGTCTGTCTGTTATCGGTCTCTGTCTGCTATCGGTCTCTGTCTGCTATCGGTATCTGTCTGCTATCGGTCTCTGTCTGCTATCGGTATCTGTGTGCTATCTGGGTCTGGGTCTGTCTGTTATCGGTCTCTGTCTGCTATCGGTCTCTGTCTGCTGTCGGTATCTGTCAGCTATCGGTCTCTGTCTGCTATCGGTATCTGTGTGCTATCTGGGTCTGGGTCTGTCTGTTATCGGTCTCTGTCTGCTATCGGTCTCTGTCTGCTATCGGTCTCTGTGTGCTATCTGGGTCTGGGTCTGTCTGTTATCGGTCTCTGTCTGCTATCGGTATCTGTCTGCTATCGGTCTCTGTCTGCTATCGGTCTCTGTGTGCTATCTGGGTCTGGGTCTGTCTGTTATCGGTCTCTGTCTGTTATCGGTCTCTGTCTGTTATCGGTCTCTGTCTGCTATCGGTCTCTGTCTGCTATCGGTCTCTGTCTGCTATCGGTCTCTGTCTGCTATCGGTCTCTGTCTGTTATCGGTCTCTGTCTGCTATCGGTCTCTGTCTGCTATCGGTGTCTGGATATTTTTTTACGTTTTACATTTTAGTCATTTTAGCAGACCAGTGAATGGTGCAATGAGCCCACTGGACACATGGTAGGATAGGTCTGTATTGTAATAGATATTGAATTATATTAATGCACTGTGATGATTGCATGTCTCAAACTTCTGTCTGGCCTGAGATGGATGGATCTTGGGGGAGATCGAGTGTTTTCGAAAATCTCAATAAAAAGTTAATTGCATCGTTTGCAGCAAAGTATGAAAACAATGTCAACAATGTTGAAAAAATCAGCACAAGCTGAATAGTAAAACAGCAGCGGTGGAAGGAAAATGTTATGGATGATTGAAAGCATGCGAACACAATCCTTTCTAGTTTATAACCCAGTGTGTCTCTAAACATCTAATGTTGTTTATTCATAATGAGATCTAGTGGAGGAATATGAACATGCAATTAATTTCATTAGGTTATCATTATCCTGGGCTAATATGGAAGTACGGACTGTCGATTATAGTGTGACAAAATGCTTTACCCTTGTAATGTCCACAACACTGTCGCAGATACAGCCAGAGCCAGTCAATTACTAAGGGAATGCATGACCAACCCCTTGGAATACTGAACCCCTTCACAGAGGGAGAGCATGCGTCCCAAAGGGCACCCTATTCCCTATGTAGTGCACTACTTTTGACCAGAGCCCAGGTCAAAAATTAGTGCGCTATAAATGGAATAGGGTGCCATTTGGGACGGAGCCGTAGAGAGCGCCTGGCAGGCAGGGAACAGCAGCAGCCGGGACTGTAGACGGACCGCCCCACAGCATTCATTCTCCTTTTGATGATTTACAGATCCTCTCCTTCTGGGGGAGTTTTACTAATTAATACGGCTGGGAGGGTTTTGCGAACAATTCGCAGAGGAAGAGTTAAATGACCTCTCCTCCTATCAGAGCCGTGGTAATTGGACCCCTAAATCTTACCGACTCTGTCCTGGTGCCCTTTCCAACAACCAATTTGGCGAGCAGGAAGTCGGTTATGCTGGTAGGTGGAGTGAACAATGCAGCATGGACCAAAATCTTCCAAAAATGGAGCAACAACCTCTTATCTCAGCACCCGGAACCAAATCAGCTACTCAGCTTCCCATCATCTAACTTCGATTACCAAAGAAGAACTCTTCCTCTGTTTTATTGGATCAATGTCTTTCTATGACATGTAAAACTAAAACGTTGATTTCAACTCGTGTGGATGGATATGGCCTAGATTTGGTAGATGTACTTATGCCACAGCCTCAGTGTAAGTTAATGAACATTGTACATCCCAAATGGCACCCTCTTTCCCTATGTAGAGCACTACTTTTGACCTGGGCCCCATAGCGCTCTGGTCAAAAGAGGTGCACAATTTAGGGAATAGGGTGCTGTTTGAGACAGGTCTAACATGACCACCTACCTCTGTATGTTTCTCCTGGGTTGTCTTCTGCTCTGTGTGCAGCACCAACGTCGCAGCACTTGGCGCTCTTCTCCTGGCTAACCGCTTATCTGCAAGAGAGACAGCAAATTAGCTTGTGGACTGGATTTTTTTGCATAATATGATAGATTTGCAATTTTCTATCTCAATGGAATTTGCAGCTGAGTTATCAACTCAAAGAACACGTTCAGCAGCCACATCACGTCAATCTAGTTCTGGATGATTCTCCTGTCCTCCTAAGTAGGCCTATACTGCTTTGCAGGTAGAGGTTGTTCTGGATGATTCTCCTGTCCTCCTAAGTAGGCCTATACTGCTTTGCAGGTAGAGGTTGTTCTGGATGATTCTCCAGTCCTCCTAAGTAGGCCTATACTGCTTTACAGGTCAAGGTTGTTCTGGATGATTCTCCAGTCCTCCTAAGTAGGCCTATACTGCTTCACAGGCAGTGCAGACACAAGGAGATCAAGCTGACAGACCGACAGACTGACACACGTACTGATGATGATGAATGAGAATGAAGACAGCAGTTAGTGGAGCAGCGGCTGAAGATTATTCAGTTTCATTAAACACTCAGATGTTACATTACTCTCCGTGTCAAAGCTTTCATTTAAACCCACCAGGTTCCATGCTAACACACACACACACACACACACACACACACACACACACACACACACACACACACACACACACACACACAAGAGGTACTCGGAGCGGCCTTGTAGTCTGACTTAGGCGGCGTGCACACCACCCACCGCTTCCGAGTATATTACTCGCTAATGTTCAGTCTCTGGATAATAAAGTTGAGGAGCTCAGGGCGAGGGTTGCTTACCAGAGAGATATCAGGGATTGTAACATCCTCTGTTTCACGGAAACATGGCTCTCTCTGGGATATACTGTCCGAGTCGGTCCAGCCAATTGGGTTCTCAGTTCATCGCGCAGACAGAAATAAACATCTCTCCGGGAAGCAGAAGGGCGGAGGTGTGTGTTTCATGATTAACGACTCATGGTGTAATTGTAGTAACACACAGGAACTCAAGTCCTTTTGTTCACCCGACCTAGAATACCTCACAATCAAATGCCGACTTTTCTTCGGTTATAGTCACGGCCGTGTATATCCCCCCTCAAGCCGATACCACGACGGCCCTCAAAGAACTTCACTGGACTCTATGCAAACTGGAAACCACATATCCGGAGGCTGCATTTATTGTAGCTGGGGATTTAAAAAAAGCAAATTTGAGGAAAACAGCTTTTATCTCAAGGCCATCAGACTGTTAGAAAGCCATCACTAGCAACTTAGAGGCTGCTGCCAATATACAGTTGAAGTCGGCAGTTTACATACACTTAGGCTGGAGTCATTAAAACTCGTTTTTCAACCACTCCACACATTTCTTGTTAACAAACTATAGTTTTGGCAATCTACTTTGTGCACGACACAAGTAATTTTTCCAACAATTGTTTACAAACATATTATTTCACTTATAATTCACTGTATCACAATTCCAGTGGGTCAGAAGTTTACATACACTAAGTTGACTGTGCCTTTAAACAGCTTGGAAAATTCCAGAAAATGATGTCATGGCTTTAGAAGCTTCTGATAGGCTAATTGACATCATTTGAGTCAATTGGAGGTGTACCTGTGGATGTATTTCAAGGCCTACCTTCAAACTCAGAGCCTCTTTGCTTGACATTATGGGAAAATCAAAAGAAATCAGCCAAGACCTCAGAAAAACAATTGTAGACCTCCACAAGTCTGGTTCATCCTTGGGAGCAATTTCCAAACGCCTGAAGGTACCACGTTCATATGTACAAACAATAGTATGCAAGTATAAACACCATGGCACGCAGCCGTCATACCGCTCAGGAAAGAGACGCGTTCTGTCTCCTAGTGATGAACGTAGTTTGGTGCGAAAAGTGCAATTCAATCCCAGAACAACAGCAAAGGACCTTGTGAAGATGCTGGAGGAAACAGGTACAAAAGTATCTATATCCACAGTAAAACAAGTCCTGTATCGACAAAACCTGAAAGGCCGCTCAGCAAGGAAGAAGCCACTGCTCCAAAATCTCCATAAAAAAGCCAGACTACGGTTTGCAACTGCACATGGGGACAAAGATCGTACTTTTTGGAGAAATGTCCTCTGGTCTGATGAAACAAAAATAGAACTGTTTGGCCATAATGTGGTCCTCTGTAGCTCAGCTGGTAGAGCACGGCGCTTGTAACGCCAAGGTAGTGGGTTCGATCCCCGGGACCACCCATACACAAAAATGTATGCACGCATGACTGTAAGTCGCTTTGGATAAAAGCGTCTGCTAAATGGCATATTCATATTCATATTCATAATGACCATCGTTATGTTTGTAGGGAAAAGGGGGCGACTTGTAAGCCGAAGTACACCATCCCAAACGTCAAGCACGGGGGTGGCAGCATCATGCTGTGGGGGTGCTTTGCTGCAGGAGGGACTGGTGCACTTCACAAAATAGATGGCATCATGAGGAAGGAAAATTATGTGGATATATTGAAGCAACATCTCAAGACATCAGACAACAAAGTCAAGGTATTGGAGTGGCCATCACAAAGCCCTGACCTCAATCCTATATACATTTGTGGGCAGAACTGAAAAAGCGTGTGCGAGCAAGGAGGCATACAAACCTGACTCAGTTACACCAGCTCTGTCAGGAGGAATGGGCCAAAATTCACCCAACTTATTGTGGGAAGCTTGTGGAAGGCTTCCCGAAACGTTTGACCCAAGTTAAACAATCTAAAGGCAATGCTACCAAATACTAATTGAGTGTAGGTAAACTTCTGACCCACTGGGAATGTGATGAAATAAATAAAAGCTGAAATAAATCATTATATCTACAATTATTCTGACATTTAACTTTCTTAAAATAAAGTGGTGATCCTAACTGACCTAAAACAGGGAATTTTTACTAGGATTAAATGTCAGGAATTGTGAAAAACTGAGTTTAAATGTATTTGGCTGAGGTGTATGTAAACTTCCGACTTCAACTGTAAATAGATTAGAAATCACTGGCCACTTAAATAAATGGAACACTAGTCACTTTAATAATGTTTACATATCTTGCATTACTCATCTCATATGTAAATACTGTATTCTATACTTTTCTACTGTATCTTAGTCCATGCTGCTCTGACATTGCTCGTCCGTATATTTATTTATATATTCTTAATTCCATTGCTTTACTTAGATTTGTGTGTATTGGGTGTATGTTGTGAAATTGTTAGATATTACTTGTTAGATATTACTGCACTGTCGGAGCTAGAAACACAAGCAGTTTGCTACACCCGCAATAACCAATACAATACAATACCGATCTCCTCTGCATTATTGTAGCCATCTGCTGCAGCCTGTCAACTATGCCTCTGCCTATCCCTGTTCTCTCCTCTCCGCACAGGCTACACAAACGCCTCACACCGCGTGGCTGCTGCCTCTCTAACCTGGTGGTCCCTGCACGCACCACACACCTGGAGTTCCAGGTCTCAGGCAGCCTCTGGAACTGCCGTTCTGCTGCCAACAAGGCTGACTTCATCCCAGCCTATGCTACCCTCCAGTCCCTCGACTTCCTGGCGCTGACGGAAACATGGATTACCACTGAAAACACTGCTACTCCTACTGCTCTCTCCTCGTCTGACCATGTGTTCTCGCATACCCCGAGAGCATCTGGTCAGAGGGGTGGTGGCACAGGATTCCTCATCTCTCCCAAGTGGACATTCTCAATTTTTCCCCTAACCCATCTGTCTATCTCCTCATTTGAATTCCATGCTGTCACAGTCACTAGCCCATTTAAGCTTAATATCCTTGTCATCTATCGCCCTCCAGGTTCCCTTGGAGAGTTCATCAATGAGCTTGACGCCTTGATAAGTTCCTTTCCTGAGAATGGCTCACCCCTCACAGTTTTGGGGGATTTCAACCTCCCTACGTCTACATTTGACTCATTTCTCTCTGCCTCCTTCTTTCCACTCCTCTCCTCTTTTGACCTCACCCTCTCACCGTCCCCCCCCCCTACTCACAAGGCAGGCAATACGCTTGACCTCATCTTTACTAGATGCTGCTCTTCTACTAATCTCACTGCAACTCCCCTCCATGTCTCCGACCACTACTTTGTATCCTTTTCTCTCTCGCTCTCCTCCAACACTACTCACTCTGCCCCTACACAGATGGTAATGCGCCGCCGCAACCTTCGCTCTCTCTCTCCCACTACTCTCTCCTCTTCCATCCTATCATCTCTTCCCTCTGCTCAATCCTTCTCCCTCCAATCTCCTGATTCTGCCTCCTCAACCCTCCTCTCCTCCCTTTCTGCATCCTTTGACTCTCTGTGTCCCCTATCCTCCCGGCCGGCTCGGTCCTCCCCTCCAGCTCCGTGGCTTGATGACTCATTGCGAGCTCACAGAACAGAGCTCCGGGCAGCGGAGCGGAAATGGAAGAAAACTAAACTCCCTGCCGACCTGGCATCTTTTCACTCCCTCCTCTCTACATTTTCTTCATCTGTTTCTGCTGCTAAGGCCACTTTCTACCACTCTAAATTCCAAGCATCTGCCTCTAACCCTAGGAAGCTCTTTGCCACATTCTCCTCCCTGCTGAATCCTCCCCCCCCCCCCCCCCCCCTCCTCTCTCTCTGTGGATGACTTCGTCAACCACTTTGAAAAGAAGGTTGACGACATCCGATCTTCGTTTGTTAAGTCTAATGACACTGCTGGTCCTGCTCACACTGCCCTACCCTATGCTTTGACTTCTTTCTCCCCTCTCTCTCCAGATAAAATCTTGCGACTTGTGACTGCAGGCCGCCCAACAACCTGCCCGCTTGACCCCATCCCCTCCTCTCTTCTCCAGACCATCTCCGGTGACCTTCTCCCCTACCTCACCTCGCTGATCAACTCATCCTTGACCGCTGGCTATGTCCCTTCCGTCTTCAAGAGAGCGAGAGTTGCACCCCTTCTCAAAAAACCAACACTCGATCCCACTGATGTCAACAACTACAGACCAGTATCCCTTCTTTCTTTTCTTTCCAAAACTATTGAGCGTGCCGTCTTTAGCCAACTCTCTTGCTATCTCTCTCAGAATTACCTTCTTGATCCAAACCAGTCAGGTTTCAGGACTTGTCATTCAACTGAGACTGCTCTTCTCTGTGTCACGGAGGCTCTCCGCACTGCTAAAGCTAACTCTCTCTCCTCTGCTCTTGTCCTTCTAGACCTGTCTGCTGCCTTTGATACTGTGAACCATCAGATCCTCCTCTCCACCCTCTCCGAGCTGGGCATCTCCGGCGCGGCTCACTCCTGGATTGCGTCCTACCTGACCGGTCGCTCCTACCAAGTGGCGTGGCGAGAAGCTGTCTCCGCACCACGTGCTCTCACCACTGGTGTCCCCCAGGGCTCAGTTCTAGGCCCTCTCCTATTCTTCCTATACACCAAGTCACTTGGCTCTGTCATATCCTCACATGGCCTCTCCTATCATTGCTACGCTGATGATACACAACTAATCTTCTCCTTTCCCCCTTCTGATAACCAGGTGGCGAATCGCATCTCTGCATGTCTGGCAGACATATCAGTATGGATGACGGATCACCACCTCAAGCTGAACCTTGGCAAGACGGAGCTGCTCTTCCTCCCGGGGAAGGACTGCCCGTTCCATGATCTCGCCATCACGGTTGACAACTCCGTTGTGTCCTCCTCCGAGAGTGCGAAGAGCCTTGGCGTGACCCTGGACAACACCCTGTCGTTCTCCGCTACCATCAAGGCGGTGACCCGATCCTGCAGGTTCATGCTCTACAACATTCGGAGAGTACGACCCTGCCTTACACAGGAAGCGGCACAGGTCCTAATCCAGGCACTTGTCATCTCCCGTCTGGATTACTGCAACTCGCTGTTGGCTGGGCTCCCTGCCTGTGCCATTAAACCCCTACAACTCATCCAGAATGCCGCAGCCCGTCTGGTGTTCAACCTTCCCAAGTTCTCTCACGTAACCCCGCTCCTCCGCACACTCCACTGGCTTCCAGTTGAAGCTCGCATCTGTTACAAGACCATGGTGCTTGCCTATGGAGCTGTGAGGGGAACGGCACCTCTGTACCTTCAGGCTCTGATCAGTCCCTACACCCAAACGAGGGCATTGCGTTCATCCACCTCTGGCCTGCTGGCTCCCCTACCTCTGCGGAAGCATAGTTCCCGCTCAGCCCAGTCAAAACTGTTCGCTGCTCTGGCACCCCAATGGTGGAACAAGCTCCCTCACGACGCCAGGACAGCGGAGTCACTCACCACCTTCCGGAGACATTTGAAACCCCACCCTATTAAGGAATACCTGGCATAGGATAAAGTAATCTTTCTACCCCCCCGCCCTACCCCCCTAATTTTTTTTTTTTTAAATTGTAAAGTGGTTATGCACCAACTTGTAAGTCGCTCTGGATAAGAGCGTCTGCTAAATGACGTAAATGTAAATGTAAATTTGATTTGATTTGACACACACGCTCTCTCTCTGCCTCTCTCTCTCTCTCTCTCTCTCTCTCTGCCTCTCTCTCTCTGTCTCTGTCTATGTTGGACTTCCTGAGCCAACGCTCACAGCGAGTCAAAATAGGTCCCCATGTGTCGGATATACGCAATACCAACACAGGCTCTCCTCAGGGATGTGTTTTGTCCCCACTTCTGTACATCTTGTACACTAATAGTTGTACTAGTTCCCATACTGACAGACACCTCGTTAAGTTCGCTGATGACACTGCCTTGATCAGCCTGTTGCATGATGACGAGGAACATCATGGCCCGGTCCTAGATGACTTTGTAGAGTGGTGTGAGGAATCACACTTGGTCCTCAATACTAACAAGACCAAAGAGATGTGCATAGACTTCAGGAAGCGTACAACACCTACCTCTGCAACATCTATCAGAGGCCAGAATATAGAAATTGTAGAGGAATATAAATATCTGGGTGTCTTTTTGGACAGTAAGCTTCAGTGGAGTAAATGTACAGACCAGATCTACAAAAAGAGCCAACAGAGACTGTACTTTCTAAAAAAGTTGGGTTCTTTTAATATAGACTGTACTATATTGACTCTGTTTTACAAATCCTTTATTGAGAGTATTTTAACTTTTTGTATTGTTTGTTGGTTTGGCAATGCCACTGTCAGTCAGAGAAACATGCTGAGAAGGATTATTACCACAGCAAGTAAGGTACTTGGAGTCAAACAGACAGGCCTGGATGAGATCTTTAAGGTCAGGGCCCTCCGTAAGGCTCACAAAATCATTTTAGACCCAAGTCACCCCCTGTACCTGGACTTTGAATTACTCCCCTCTGGGCATAGGTATAGGGCACCCCTCAGCAGGAAAAATAGAACGAGACAATCATTTGTGCCAGGTGTGATATCCCTCTTAAATAGCTCGGGCAAATGTTCCCATTGACCCCGTAAGGCCAGCAGGCTAGTCTTTGTTTTAAATGTTTTAAATGTTTTATTTCTTATTTCTTACTTTTATTGGTGCGTGACTGTTATTGAAAGTTGTATTGTCAATCTTGTTTTGTATTTAACGCCACTTTAAATGTGTACATGACACTGCAACAAAATTTCCCCATGGGGACAATAAAGTAAGTAAAGTATGTCTCTCTCTCTCTCTCTCTCAATTCAATTCAATTTCAATTGAATGGCATAGGTGATGGCTTTGTTATGGAAGGGTTGGGAATCGTTTCCTTTTAAGTGGTTATAGAATTTAACGGCTCTTTTCTGGATTTTGATAATTAGCGGGTATTGGCCTAATTCTGCTCTGCATGCATTATTTGGTGTTTTACGTTGTACACGGAGGATGTTTTTGCAGAATTCTGCATGCAGAGTCTCAATTTGGTGTTTGTCCCATTTTGTGAATTCTTGGTTTGGTGAGCGGACCCCAGACCTCAGAACCATAAAGGGCAACGGGTTCTATAACTGATTCAAGTATTTTTAGCCAGATCCTAATTGGTATGTCAAATGTTATGTTCCTTTTGATGGCATAGAAGGCCCTTCTTGCCTTGTCTCTCAGATCGTTCACAGCTTTGTGGAAGTTACCTATCTCTCTCTCTCTCTCTCTCTCTCTCTCTCTGTTGGAATAAATGTAGCGTTTTTATCTTGTGGAAAATTACCAGGTGGAACATTTTTTAATTACACAAATGACTTCTTTATCTTTTTGGGATTTCATTACAAAATGCATGACCAGGCTCAGTTTGGTACCAAGGTTCATATAACCAATTGTAGGAGTACATGCCTATTAAATACCTGCAGAAGAATGAAAACTGTACTGTCAAGTGAAGTGCCTCTGAAATAACTGGAGCCGTAACTTCTGAATGCCAACTAAAGCTATTCTGCCACTGCAATAGAGTCAAATGTTGAACACATTCCTTTCAGGGATACAGCAGTAATGTGAGTAGATATGTTATTGAATGTATTGCAGCTGGGACATAACGAATCAGGGATATTTATTGCAGCCTGATGGCGGTGTGAATATTGATGGAGCACAATAACAAAATCAATACCAATTCTCTGCAATCTAATTAGGAGTCACGCACGCACACACACACACACACACACACACACACACACACACACACACACAACAAACACGCACACACAGAGGAGAGCTATAATGATGGAAAATCCACAATGGGTAGTCTAAAAGGTGAGCAAAATTGGATTCTGCCGCTACCCATGTTCCAGTTGTGTCAATATTTGCTAACCACTAAACATAGTAAGAAATGAGACTAACAGGTTGGTATGCAGCTTAGAGTTATCTATAGTACGAGCATGGTGATATGCAACATAAGCATGTCTATGGTAAGAGCATAGAGGTAAACACTGAGTGGACAAAACATTAGGAACACCTTCCTAATATTGACTTGCACCCCCTTTTTGCCCTCAGAGCAGCTTCAATTCGTCGGGGCATGGACTCTACAAGACTCTCGAAAGCATTCCCACAGTTGTGTCAAGTTGGATGTCCTTTGGGTGGTGGACCATTCTTGATACACACGGGAAACTGTTGAGTGCGAAAAACCCATCAGTGTTGCACTTCTAACCAGTGGAGGCTGCTGAAGGGAGGACGGCTCAGAATAATGGCTGGAACGGATCAAATGGAATGGCATCAAACACATAGAAACCATATGTTTGATACCATTCCACTAATTCCGCTCCAGCCATTACCACGAGCTCGTACGCCCCAATTAACCTCTTAAGGATCGGACCCTTTTTTCCCATTTTCACCTAAAATGACACACCCAAATCTAACTGCCTGTAGCTCAGGACCTGAAGCAAGGATATGCACATTCTTGATACAATTTGAAAGGAAACACTTTGAAGTTTGTGGAAATGTGAAATTAATGTAGGGGAATATAACACATTAGATCTGGTAAAAGATAATACAAACAAAAAAACATGTTTTCTATAATTTTTTTGTTACGTCATTTTTGAAATGAAAGAGAAAGGCCACAATATAATATTGCAGTTTAGGCGCAATTTAGAGTTTGGACACTAGATGGCAGCAGTGTGTGTGCAAAGTTTCAGATTGATCCAGTGAAGCATTGCAATACTGGACTATTTTGTATAAAGTCTGCCCAAATGTGCCGAATTGGTCAACTGATACATTTTCAAGTACATAACTATAGAGAACATACAAAAATGATATGGTAATACAAAATGTAAGTTTACACACTCCCAGGAATGTCATACATGATGGATCATGAGCTTATACACTAACTTTCACACATCGGGGTGGGTGTGGAGCCAGAGACAGCAGGGGTTCAAACTGTAGAACCCAGTTCCTACATTTGAACATAGAAATTGATTTTATCAAACAAAACTATGCTACATTTTATCTCTGGGACCCTTAGGATGACAAATCAGAGCAAGATTACTGAATGTAAGTACATTATTTACCTTCAGAGGTGAATGTATCAAACCAGTTGCCGTGAAAAGTTTTTTGTTGTTGTGCACTCTTCTCAAACAATAGCGTGGTATTTTTTCACTGTAATAGCTACTGTAAATTGGACAGTGCAGTTAGATTAACAAGACTTTAAGCTTTCTGCCCATATAAGACATGTCTATGTCCTGGAAAGTTTGCTGTTACTTACAACAGTCATGCTAATCACATTAGCGCACGTTAGCTCAACCGTCCCGTATACGGGACACCGATCCCATAGAGGTTGGTGCCACCAACCTCCTGTGAATCAAACCGGTGTGCCTGCCACCTACTACCATACCCCATTCAAAGGCACTTACATATTTTATCTTGCCCATTCACCTTCTGAATGGCACACATACACGATCCATGTCTCTTAAAAATTATCCTTTAACCCAGCTCCTCCCCTTCATCTACACCGCTTGAAGTGGATTTAACAAGTGACATCAACAAGGGATCATAGCGTTCACCTGGATTCACCTGGTCAGTCTGTCATGGAAAGGCCTTAGACCCACCTGGATTCACCTGGTCAGTCTGTCATGGAAAGGCCTTAGACCCACCTGGATTCACCTGGTCCGTCTGTCATGGAAAGGCCTTAGACCCACCTGGATTCACCTGGTCAGTCTGTCATGGAAAGGCCTTAGACCCACCTGGATTCACCTGGTCAGTCTGTCATGGAAAGGCCTTAGACCCACCTGGATTCACCTGGTCCGTCTGTCATGGAAAGGCCTTAGACCCACCTGGATTCACCTGGTCAGTCTGTCATGGAAAGGCCTTAGACCCACCTGGATTCACCTGGTCAGTCTGTCATGGAAAGGCCTTAGACCCACCTGGATTCACCTGGTCCGTCTGTCATGGAAAGGCCTTAGACCCACCTGGATTCACCTGGTCAGTCTGTCATGGAAAGGCCTTAGACCCACCTGGATTCACCTGGTCAGTCTGTCATGGAAAGGCCTTAGACCCACCTGGTCAGTCTGTCATGGAAAGGCCTTAGACCCACCTGGTCAGTCTGTCATGGAAAGGCCTTAGACCCACTTGGATTCACCTGGTCAGTCTGTCATGGAAAGGCCTTAGACCCACCTGGTCAGTCTGTCATGGAAAGGCCTTAGACCCACCTGGTCAGTCTGTCATGGAAAGGCCTTAGACCCACCTGGTCAGTCTGTCATGGAAAGGCCTTAGACCCACCTGGTCAGTCTGTCATGGAAAGACCAGGTGTTCCTATTGTTTTGTACGCTCAGTGTATAACGTTAGGATCTCTTCAAAAATACAAAATGCTCCCACATCTCAGCTTGGTTGGAAACAAAAGCCCTAGATTCCCATCTTAGACTGGTAAGTCTCCTGTGGCTTTCAGAAGGCAGTGAAGTGAAGCTGACGTCAAGGTGAAGAGACGTGACAAGAGGAACAGTCAGCTATACTGGCACCAGAATATGCTTCCATGAGTCCTTCCATCCATCCGTGCACTGAAAGTTGATATGTGTTTGTGTGTGTGCGCGTGTGTGTGTGTGTCTGTGTGTGCGTGTGTGTGTGTGTGTGTGTGAGTGTGCATGTGTGTGTGTGTGTGTGTGTAGGGAAAAGTAGCATGTGTTTTATAGGACTTTCCACATGCTCAAAATTTTTAAAATGTTGCACTCAAGGACTGTAATGATGATTAACAAACAGATCCATGATAACGTATACTTAGATTAACTGATACATTACTAGATAAGTCTGAGCCACACACACACACACACACACACACACACACACACACACACACACACACAGAAACACAATCTGTTTCTACAGTACTCATGGGAGATATATGACAGGAGATATGTTTATTTGACTGAGAGTGGACTGAAGGAGGTGCTGTCTGTCAGATCACAGATATATGTTTATTTGACTGAGAGTGGACTGAAGGAGGTGCTGTCTGTCAGATCACAGAGATATGTTTATTTGACTGAGAGTGGACTGAAGGAAGTGCTGTCTGTCAGATCACAGATATATGTTTATTATACTGAGAGTGGACTGAAGGAGGTGCTGTCTGTCAGATCACAGGGATATGTTGCATCTCTTTACATGGTACACTTTAAATTAATGATGGACAGATTGGTTGAGCCTTTATCCAGACATGAGGAATTATGTAAGATACATAAAAGCATTTGATGTTGAGATGAGAACCTCCTTGAAACAAAGATTGGTATGTGAAGCACATGGTAGAATAGGTCTGTTCTCTTACTGTAAGAAGAGTATGTTTCTTACAATGATGACATATTCTGAAAAGTTCAAGGGTTATTTTATGTTTTACATATGTTCTTCACAGAGTGTAGGACTAATCTCATTTCAAGCACCAACTATTCAGTCTGATGAATCCACAATGAGCCTCTACGAGTATATTATGCAGTACAATATTTTCATAAATAAATGAATATACAGTATGTCAAAAAAACGTGAAATGGTGAATTCATTGATAGATGAATTCATTGATTGACTGACATATCCAACCTGATGAATTGATTGATTGATTGATTGATTGATTGACAGGGCCTAACCTGATGTTGAGTGGGGTCTCCAGTCTCCAGTCATGAGAGCAACACCTGGCGCTGACAGTGATGTCATCCGGGCAAACTGGGCTGGCAGCATGGGACCCATCAGGCCCTCCCAGGTGGCACTGGATCCTGCAGGTCAAACAACAGGGATAGGGTTAGGTACCAGACATATCCTGCAGGTCAAACAACAGGGATAGGGTTAGGTACCAGACATATCCTGCAGGTCAAACAACAGGGATAGGGTTAGGTACCAGACATATCCTGCAGGTCAAACAACATGGATAGGGTTAGGTACCAGACATATCCTGCAGGTCAAACAACTGGGATAGGGTTAGGTACCAGACATATCCTGCAGGTCAAACAACATGGATAGGGTTAGGTACCAGGTGGCACGGGATCCTCGGTTGGACATGGCATGAGTTATCCAGACAGAAACACACAAACAGACAGATCTGGGACCAGGCTACTGGCAAGGGATGGGGTTGGGCAGGGTGTCGGCGTAAAGGCATTCACACTACATCAAACCCAGCCGGCCGGCAATGTGTGTGACGCTCCTGGGACAGCCGGTAGAGTGGCCACATCAGTTAACTCTCTAGCACCCTGGATGCATCCCGAATGGCACCCTAGTCCCTATATAGTGCACTACTTTTGACCAGGGTACAAAGGGAATATGGTGCCATTTGGTACGTACACACTGTGTTTCACCTACTGGCTCAGACCTACTTGCTCAGACCTACGGGCTCAGACCTACTGGCTCAGACCTACTGACTCAGACCTACTGGTTCAGACCTACTGGCTCAGACCTACTGACTCAGACCTACTGGCTCAGACCTACTGGCTCAGACCTACTGTCTCAGACCTACTGGCTCAGACCTACTGGCTCAGACCTACTGGTTCAGATCTACTGGCTCAGACCTACTGGTTCAGACCTACTGGCTCAGACCTACTGACTCAGACCTACTGTCTCAGACCTACTGGCTCAGACCTACTGGTTCAGACCTACTGGCTCAGACCTACTGTCTCAGACCTACTGGCTCAGACCTACTGGCTCAGACCTACTGGTTCAGATCTACTGGCTCAGATCTACTGGTTCAGGCTGGGTTGATGTAGGATAGGGTATTTGCCTTGATAACAGACATTATGTTTGAGGCAAAGCAATGAGTTGACTTCCTCTTCAGACGGACATTTTGCCAGTGTGTTTTATAACAACACATTGATAGATGCACACACACACACAAAGATAGTACATGTTAATATTTTAAATGTATGTCAATTCCAAAGTATTTTGTCTGAAATGTATTTTTGGTTATGTGTCGGACCCCGGTAAGACTAGCTGTCGCCATTGGCGTCAGATAATGGGGATCCTAAAAAATGAAATAAAATAAAACATATTCAAAACTGCATCAGAAACAGCATGGTAGCAATCCATCAGTATGTCAAGTTGAGACAACTCACTCATGTTATGTTTAGTTCAATCACCTTTATAACTAAATTATAACTAAAGATACTGCCTCACATCAACTCCATTATCTACAGCAGATTTTTATTTTGCCTTTATTTAACCAGGCAAGTAATTGAGAACACATTATCTTTCACAATAACGACAACATATTGATTGCAGAGTTTCTTTCAAGCAGATAAAAAAATAATAATATATATCTTAAAAATGTCAACACGGCTTGAGGCTCATTTAGCATAACGCAACATGTCACCTCTTTTATTTTCCATCCTGCCTGCTGAATTCTCCCTGATAAGTGCAGTTTGTTTGGAAAGGTTAATTGTGTTCGGAATTAGCCGAGGGTTGCTGAAAACTACCCGAGCTCAGTCAATCCAGCTGCTTATCTTTATGAATATGTATTTTCTTTATTTTTGTCTGTTGTCAAAAGGCTGGAACATACAGTACATGCATAATGCCAATCAGGATATATTTTTTTTTAACAATTGCTACATAACCCCAACAGCAACAAAAACAAAAAAACAACACGCTGCAATGTGGAGATAATAAATGTTTCCACAACCGTCAACATGATTCAACTTCATGGGGACAATCAAAACATTAATTGTACAAAGTTTGCCAATGTTGAATAATTGTTAAAGCTGGTGTGTGGACTGGTAAGCAATCAACCCACAATAGGAATACAGCAACCATGCGTTGGAGGCCTGGGTTACAGTATGTTCAATGGAATGGTTGGCTGTCAAATGGCACCCCATTCCATATATAGTGTCCTATACACTGAATGGACAAAACATTAAGAACACCTTCCTAATATTTTGTTGACCTCCCCCCAGTAGTATTTACTGTAGTGTTTCTGTGGACTGTACAATACTGTAGTATTTACTGCAGTGTTTCTGTGGACTGTACAATACTGTAGTATTTACTGCAGTGTTTCTGTGGACTGTACAATACTGTAGTATTTACTGCAGTGTTTCTGTGGACTGTACAATACTGTAATATTTACTGTAGTGTTTCTGTGGACTGTACAATACTGTAGTATTTACTGCAGTGTTTCTGTGGACTGTACAATACTGTAATATTTACTGTAGTGTTTCTGTGGACTGTACAATACTGTAATATTTACTGTAGTGTTTTTGCAGATATTACTGTAGTATTTACTATAGTGTTTTGTTTTATTATCTTTGACATAGAAGTGGAGGCTTCTCCTTCAGGAAACCTACTGGAGAAATACTAAAAGAGCACATTTTCCATAACTTACAGGCACGACTGGGGTCTGAACGGACTCTGCTCTTTTCTATAACCTGTAGGTAGGACTGGGGTCTGAACGGACTCTGCTCTTTTCTATAACCTGTAGGTAGGACTGGGGTCTGAATCAAGAGGTACACGATATATGGTCTGTACTTGGCATGTAGGTTTCTCACTTATGGGTGGCACAAATTGTGATATGGGGGAGGGGAATGTAAATGAAAAACTGTAGTATTTACTATAGTTAAGAAAAAGTGTAATGTTTTTGAGGACTGTAGTCTTTTTGAGAACATTACTGTAGTATTTTCTACAGTGTTTTTCTTCTTCTGGAAAATACTGTAGTATTTACTATAGTATTCTACAGTGTACTACAACATTTTATACTAAGTACTACATATGATCGAGGGATACTACAGTGTGTTGTTGTCACGACTTCCGCCGAGGCTGCCTTCCCTCCTTGTTCGGGCAGGTTTCGGCATTCGGCGTCACCGGCTTACTAGCTACTGTCGATCCATTTATCATCACTCCATTTGTCTTGTCTTCAATCACACACACCTGGTCCTTATTCCCTCATTAGTCATTGTCCCTCTGCTTCCTTGTCTGTGTGGGTGATTGTTTATTGTGGAGGTTAGTGAAGCTCGGTGGAGCTCGTGTATTTTGTATCGACGGGAGTATTTTCCCATGTGCCTTGTATTTTCCAGTGCGCCTGTTTTGTGCCCTGGAGTGTGTTTGATGCATTTCTGCGTAAACCTGGATTTTTGCGGATTAAAGACTGTTATTCTGTGATTTACCCTCCTGCGCCTGACTCCTTCAACACCACCTCATCACAGTTGTATAGTAATTCTACAGTATATTACAGTTTACTACAGAAGTCTATAGTATGTAGTAAACTGTAATATGTTTTAATGTATAACAATACATCATGACACCCAGTCAGCCATCCCTTCATTTCACACTATTCACAGACGGCTAAAGCAATGAGAAGTATAAAAACACTCCACAGTGGATATTAGTAATGACAGATTATAGCCAGGACACGTTTATTATTCTCATTCAGAAGAAGCTTCAGTCCACCGTTTAGGGCTTGGTTTTGAAAGCAGCCTGGCGACTACACCATAGAGAGCCATGAACCGGCTTAGGGTGCATCCCAAATGGCACTCTTTTCCCTTTATAGTGCACTGCGTTTGATCAGGGCCACATAGGACCCTATATAGGGAATAGGGTGCCATTTGGGATTCATTCTTAATCTCATTTTACTCCACTGAGACTACTCTGCGCTCTGAAGGAGGTTTATTCGAGGATCATGAATGCACCGCCGTGTGTACTGAGTGTGATCTGATTGACCCAATTTAACAGAACTCCCACATCAGGCTAATAGGACTATATATGAAAGACTGACTGTCACAGTGACGGGAGTGTTCCAGATGGCACCCTATTCCCTTTATAGTGCACTACTTTTGACCACGGCCCATAGGGCTCTATATGGGGAATAGGGTGCAATTTGGGACACGCTATGAAAGTAGTCGAGTAACTCCTTGATCCGAAAGATCATTCTTCTGAGGACATAGCAGCAGCTATTGATGAAAGTCTGAGATGAGAGGAGGCCTTGAGATGAGAGAAGACCCCATCATAGATCAATAACATCTATTTCCTATTCTGATTCTACGGACCACGTCATCATAAAGTAATCTTCACGCTCAGATAGACCAGAGGAGTGACTTATATCATCATAGAGCACCATGATGGCTGTCTCTGGCTGCATTCAGGGCATCATATTTGGAATTTAGCAGACGAGTTCATCCAAAGGGACTTACAGAGATGTGTGCATACATTTTTTGTATTGGTTGCCCCGGGAATCGAACACACAATCATGCCATGTTCTACCAACTGATCCATACAGGACCACCTCATAGCGCATGAAAATCAGCTTGTCACAAATGGACTGACAGAGAGAGGAGAGATGAGAGTAGAGGAGAGAACCCACACCCTGCTGGGAACAGCCAGGCAGCCTCATAGAGGAGAGAACCCACACCCTGCTGGGAACAGCCAGACAGCCTCATAGAGGAGAGAACCCACACCCTGCTGGGAACAGCCAGACAGCCTCATAGAGGAGAGAACCCACACCCTGCTGGGAACAGCCAGGCAGCCTCATAGAGGAGAGAACCCACACCCTGCTGTGAACAGCCAGACAGCCTCATAGAGGAGAGAACCCACACCCTGCTGGGAACAGCCAGACAGCCTCATAGAGGAGAGAACCCACACCCTGCTGGGAACAGCCAGACAGCCTCATAGAGGAGAGAACCCACACCCTGCTGGGAACAGCCAGGCAGCCTCATAGAGGAGAGAACCCACACCCTGCTTGGGAACAGCCAGCAGCCTCATAGAGGAGAGAACCCACACCCTGCTGGGAACAGCCAGACAGGCCTCATAGAGGAGAGAACCCACACCCTGCTGGGAACAGCCAGACAGCCTCATAGAGGAGAGAACCCCACACCCTGCTGGGAACAGCCAGACAGCCTCATAGAGGAGAGAACCCACACCCTGCTGGGAACAGCCAGACAGCCTCATAGAGGAGAGAACCCACCTGCTGGAACAGCCAGACAGCCTCATAGAGGAGAGAACCCACACCCTGCTGGGAACAGCCAGACAGCCTCATAGAGGAGAGAACCCACACCCTGCTGGGAACAGCCAGGCAGCCTCATAGAGGAGAGAACCCACACCCTGCTGGTAACAGCCAGACAGCCTCATGGAGGAGAGAACCCACACCCTGCTGGGAACAGCCAGACAGCCTCATAGAGGAGAGAACCCACACCCTGCTTGGAACAGCCAGACAGCCTCATAGAGGAGAGAACCCACACCCTGCTTGGAACAGCCAGACAGCCTCATAGAGGAGAGAACCCACACCCTGCTGGGAACAGCCAGACAGCCTCATAGAGGAGAGAACCCACACCCTGCTGGGAACAGCCAGACAGCCTCATAGAGGAGAGAACCCACACCCTGCTTTGAACAGCCAGACAGCCTCATAGAGGAGAGAACCCACACCCTGCTGGGAACAGCCAGACAGCCTCATAGAGGAGAGAACCCACACCCTGCTGGGAACAGCCAGACAGCCTCATAGAGCAGAGAACCCACACCCTGCTGGGAACAGCCAGACAGCCTCATAGAGGAGAGAACCCACACCCTGCTGGGAACAGCCAGACAGCCTCATAGAGGAGAGAACCCACACCCTGCTGGGAACAGCCAGACAGCCTCATAGAGGAGAGAACCCACACCCTGCTGGGAACAGCCACACAGCCTCATAGAGGAGAGAACCCACACCCTGCTGGGAACAGCCAGACAGCCTCATAGAGCAGAGAACCCACACCCTGCTGGGAACAGCCAGACAGCCTCATAGAGGAGAGAACCCACACCCTGCTGGGAACAGCCAGGCAGCCTCATAGAGGAGAGAACCCACACCCTGCTGTGAACAGCCAGGTCTTTAGTACACCAGTCACACTCTATCTGATGAACAGTGTGTTGTTGGTCGGCTTGTTGTATAATCAGACTGCACCCCAAATAGCACGCTCGTCCCTATGCAGTGTGCTACTTCTGACCAGCGCCCTATGAGCTCCGGTTAAAAGAACTGCACTATACAGAGCATAGGGTGCCATTTGGGACACAGACTCCGTCAGAACTGAACTGTGCCACCAACCAGGAGAGATTGGTTTGGGCTTTAGAAACATAAACCAAACTCCTCATAATCTGCTTTACTTTAATACATTATTCTATTAATAGATGTAGTTCATATGTTCATAAATATTGAATGACAAACTGCTCCTCTGTAAATACCCAATGGCTGTGTCCCAAATGGCACCCTATTCCCAACAAAGTGCACCACTTTTGACCAGAGCCCCTATGGACCCTATAGGTGAACTATATGTGTAACATGAACTACCATGTTGCCATGGGATATAACAGCAAGGGACCTCTCCTCCAGGATTTGCTCTCTTTCTATGAAAACAGACAGAAATCTCAGCATGCATCTCAGTAATCTGCTACAATTAACCCGACAGGCACTTTTCATGGGCGTGTTGTGCATTAGCAAAATACATCATGCATATATATCATTGGAACGGAATTCAAATTAAACTGAAATAAAAGCACTGAAAGAAAATAATCATTCCAAAGTATGGCATAAGAGTGACTATGCTGCTGCCCCGTCTGGTTCTGCTTTTAATCATGGAGGCACAGCTTCTACATTTCTCTCTGAATGGGGGAATATATTGCCATTTGACAAATCAACTGTCAAATGACCTCACATCACCAAGACTAGATTTGTGAAGTTGTCAGCTCCGACTGCGCGATAAGCCTGAATGTAAATAAAAAACAATGCCTTGACAATTCAATAAATTTAATTGTAAATTTGCAAAATGCGTCTCTGACGTTTGCACTTCTGACGTATTTTCCGGCTTAGATTCGAGGAGACCATTAAATCAGAGTCTTGTTGAAATACAAGCTGTCACGGATCCCCCCGGTACTGCTGCTCATTCCGTTCACCAGCTCCGGAGGTCTACGTCACCGGCCTTCTAGGCGTCACTGATCTGGTTCATTACCAACAACCCGGGACAGTCTTGTCTCATTACGCAGACCTGGTTCACATTCCCCCTGATTAGTTTGTGTATATATGTGTCCTCTGTTACCAATTGTCCTTGGAATACCCCTGTCCTTCCTGGAGCGCTTTGACGGCGCGCCAGCGAGATGCAAGGGATTCCTTCTGCAATGCGACCTGTACCTCGCTCACTATGCCGAGGATATCTCCGTGAGAGACAAGGTTGCCACAGTCATCTCGGCACTGACCAGACGGGCCCTGGACTGGGGTGCCGCGGTTTGGGAAATGAGCGGACCCGAGGTTGATTCCTACGAGCGCTTCACCCTCCTCTTCCGCTCGGTGTTTGATCATCCTGTTGAGAGCCAAGAGGGGGGTGAGCGTCTACTCCGACTAGGCCAGGGATTTAGGACCGCCTCGGAGTTCGCCCTGGAGTTCCGAACCATCGCGGCCTCCACCGGATGGAATGAGTCGGCTCTGGTCACCTTGTTCCGCAGCGGACTGCAGGATGAGGTACAGATGGAGTTAGCCTGCCGTGATGACAGGCTAACCAGCTTATCAGCATGGCGATCCGGTTGGACAACCTCCTGTGGTCCCGACGAAGACCTGCGCGGAATCCGAAGCCCGTGGCTACACCTGCTTCGTGGCAAGAGCCGTTGGAGGTGGGCTCTGCACGTTTGCCGGAGGCAGAGCGTAGGAGAAGGAGGAATCTGGGCCTCTGCTCCTATGGTGGAGAAATAGGTAATTTCTCCCCGACCTGCCCTCTATCCACTAATAGGCAAGGAGATGTCAAGCCAGGGAATTCCCCTGCTCCAACCCAGGCAGAGGAGAGGCAGGAAGAGGAGATCCCCATCATCCTGGGATAGGCCGTAGCATCGCCTGCCTGACTGAGAAGTACTGGTGGCCCACCTTGGCTAGGGACGTCCGGGTTTACGTGTCTTCCTGCTCCATCTGTGCCCAGTCTAAGACACCCAGACACCTCCCTTATGGAAAGCTCCTTCCCCTGCCGGTTCCACAACTACCCTGGTCTCACCTCTCAGTGGACTATGTCACTGACCTTCCCCCCTCCCAGGGGAACACCACCGTTCTCGTCGTTGTGGACCGGTTTTCCAAAGCTTGTCGCCTCCTTCCTCTGCCTGGGCTCCCGTCAAACCATGGAGGCTCTTTTTAATCACGTCTTCCAGCACTACGGGATCCCGGAGGACATTGTGTCAGACCATGGTCCTCAGTTCACCTCACGCATATGGAAAGCATTCATGGAACGCCTGGGGGTCACGGTCATTCTCACCTTTGGGTACCATCCTCAAGCTAATGGGCAGGTGGAGAGGGTCAATCAGGAAGTGGGCAGGATCCTGAGGTGTTACTGTCAGGGCCGGCCGGGGGAGTGGGTGGATTTTCTACCTTGGGCTGAGTACACACAGAATTCCCTCCGCCACTCCTCCACAAACCTCACTCCTTTCCAGTGCGTGTTGGGGTATCAGCCGGCCCTGGCACCTTGGCATCCGAGCCAGACCGAGGCAACTGCGATGGATGAGTGGTTTTGGCGCGCTGAGGAGATCTGGAACGCTGCGCACACTCTTCTCCAGCGGGCCGTGCATCGGCACAAGGAACAGTCCAACGGTCACCGCAGTGAGGCACCTGTTTTCTCTCCAGGCGACCGGGTCTGGTTCTCCACCCGGAACCTTTCCCTACGCTTGCCCTGCCAGAAGCTGAGCCCGCGGTTTGTGGGGCCATTTAAAGTCCTGAGGAGGGTTAATGAGATAACGTACCATTTGCAACTCCCTGCTGTTGAACGCATTAACCCGGCTTTTCACTTTTCATGTGTCTCTCCTCAGGCCAGTGGTGCCTGGTCCCCTCGCTGAGGTTGGACCCAGTGACACCCCGGTCCGGCGTACTCGGTCCGTGAAGTCCTGGATTCGGGGCATCGGGCGGGGCATCTCCAGTACCTCATCGACTGGGAGGGGTGCTTGGTTTCTGTGTTGGACATCCTGGACACTTGGGGGGGGGGGCTCATTCCGTTCACCAGCTCCGGAGGTATACGTCACCGGCATTCTAGGCGTCACTGATCTGGTTCATTACCACCAACCCCGGACTGTCTCATTACCACACCTGGTTCCCATTCCCCCTGAGTAGTATGTGTATATATGTGCCCTCTGTTCCCCATTGTCCTTGTCCATTATTGTCCCATGTCTGTTGGTCTCCTGAGTACCGTGTATTGTGCTCTTGTTGTTTACGGGTCTCGTCCTGTGTATTGTGTAGAGGTTACACCTCGCTCTTTGTTTGGATACATCCCCTTGGGAATATATGTGTTTGTGTTGGGTGGAGTAATAAAACCCATCAACGGTATCATCAAAGATGTTCAGACTGCAGAACATCATGAAACACTTAGACACTCGTCTGGATTTAACGTCTGACAGAGTAAAATATTTAACGTCTGGCAGAGTAAAGGATTTAACGTCTGACAGGGTAAAGGATTTAACGTCTGGCAGAGTAAAGGATTTAACGTCTGACGGTAAAGGATTTAACGTCTGACAGAGTAAAGGATTTAACGTCTGACAGGGTAAAGGATTTAACGTCTGACAGGGTAAAGGATTTAACGTCTGACAGAGTAAAGGATTTAACGTCTGACAGGGTAAAATATTTAACGTCTGACAGAGTAAAAGATTTAACGTCTGGCAGAGTAAAGGATTTAACGTCTGGCAGAGTAAAGGATTTAACGTCTGACAGTTGCCTGTTTGTTTTGTTATTATTCATAGGGATTCTTAAACTCTCTCTGTGTGTGTGTGTGTGTGTGTGTGTGTGTGTGTGTGTGTGTGTGTGTGTGTGTGTGTGTGTGTGTGTGTGTGTGTGTGTGTGTGTGTGTGTGTATGTGTGTGTGTGTGTGAGTGTGTGTGTGTATGTGTGTGTGTGTGTGTGTGTATGTGTGTGTGTGTGAGTGTGTGTGTGTATGTGTGTGTGTGTGTGTGTGTGTGTGTGTGTGTGTGGTGTGTGTGTGTGTGTGTGTGTGTGTGTGTGTGTGTGTGTGTGTGTGTGTGTGTGTGTGTGTGTGTGTGTGTGTGTGTGTGTGTGTGTGTGTGTATGTCAAAGAGTTCTAAAAGCAGCAGGAGTAGTAACAACATATGGGAGGGTTTCAGCACATTATGAACCATAACTAGCGTTTATATAGCGGGCTGTGGATGATACCGCAGCTGCTGGTCACCTTGCAATAGCACTTCCATGCTCCACTGGAGAGACTGGAGAGACTGCCCCCTGAATATACACCACATGAGAGACTGCTCCCTGAATATAAACCACAGGAGAGACTGCCCCCTGAATATAAACCACAGGAGAGACTGCCCCCTGAATATAAACCACAGGAGGGACTGCCCCCTGAATATACACAACAGGAGGGACTGCTCCCTGAATATAAACCACAGGATAGACTGCCCCCTGAATATACACAACAGGAGGGACTGCCCCCTGAATATACACAACAGGAGGGACTGCCCCCTGAATATACACAACAGGAGAGACTGCCCCCTGAATTTAAATCTTTCTGATTGAGAGGGGGTCAAATACTTATTTCCCTCATTCAAATGCAAATCAATTTATAACATTTCTGACATGCGTTTTTCTGGATTTTTTTGTTGTTATTCTGTCTCTCACTGTTCAAATAAACCTACCATTAAAATTATAGACTGATCACTTCTTTGTCCGTGGGCAAACGTACAAAATCAGCAGGGGATCAAATATTTTTTTCCCCTCACTGTAGATACTGTCTACTTCTGAAATGGTACCCTTACGCTGTGCCCCTGGTCAAAAGTAGTTCACTATATAGGGAATAGGGTGCTGTTTGGGACGTAGGCAGAGTATCTACAGTATATATATGCATGGAGGGTAGTGAGGTCTGGTACTGTAGAGTTCTGGGTTCTGTAGAGTTCTGGGTTCTGTAGAGTTCTGGGTTCTGGGTTCTGTAGAGTTCTGTGTTGGGTTCTGTAGAGTTCTGGGTTCTGTAGAGTTATGGGTTCTGGGTTCTGTAGAGTTCTGGGTTCTGGGTTCTGTAGAGTTATGGGTTCTGTAGAGTTCTGTGTTTGGCTCTATAGAGTTATGGGTTCTGTAGAGTTCTGGGTTCTGGGTTCTGTAGAGTTCTGGGCTCTGGCTCTGTAGAGTTCTGGGTTCTGTAGAGTTCTGTGTTCTGTAGAGTTCTGTGTTCTGGGTTCTGTAGAGTTCTGGGCTCTGGCTCTGTAGAGTTCTGGGTTCTGTAGAGTTCTGGGTTCTGTCTCTGTAGAGTTCTGGGCTCTGTAGAGTTCTGTGTTCTGGCTCTGTAGAGTTCTGGGTTCTGTAGAGTTCTGGGTTCTGTCTCTGTATAGTTCTGGGCTCTGTAGAGTTCTGTGTTCTGGCTCTGTAGAGTTCTGGGTTCTTTAGAGTTCTGTGTTCTGGCTCTGTAGAGTTCTGGGCTCTGGCTCTGGGACCATACAGAGTGTCTAAACTAATATAAAAAAAAAAAAAATAGCTATTTTATCTGAATCTCCAAAGGATGAGAAACGTTCAACTGAGTTCTGTTGTTTACACACTATTGTGGAATCACAAAGCCAGGCAATGTGGTTCACAAGGACTTCTGCTGAGTAGATATAGTACGGATTCCAAATGTCACCTTATTCCCTATAGAGTGCACTACTGTTGACCAGAGCCCTATGGTCGAGACTAGTGCACTATGTAGGGAATAGACTGGGTATACTGTTGTACATAATGTGGAGTTGATGATGAAAGGAGTTTGTCAAGGTGAGTCAGAACTGAACAACTGGGCCAAGGTAACATCAGAGAGATGACGGGACCAGAGACACAATGGTAATATTAGACTATAAAACAATGGTAACACTAGACTATAACACAATGGGAACACTATAACACAATGGTAACACTAGACTATAACACAATGGTAACACTAGACTATAACACAATGGTAACACTATAACACAATGGTAACACTAGACTATAACACAATGGTAACACTAGACTATAACACAATGGTAACACTATAACACAATGGTAACACTAGACTATAACACAATGGTAACACTAGACTATAACACAATGGTAACACTATAACACAATGGTAACACTAGACTATAACACAATGGTAACACTAGACTATAACACAATGGTAACACTAGACTATAACACAATGGGAACACTAGACTATAACACAATGGTAACACTAGACTATAACACAATGGGAACACTATAACACAATGGGAACACTATAACACAATGGTAACACTAGACTATAACACAATGGTAACACTAAACTATAACTGTGAGTTAAGTACATAGTTTCTCACAAAATAAAATGACAAAGCCCTTTTTTTGAATGTCTGTTCAGGTAAATCTGTTTTGGGCAATTACAGAACAGAACAGCATGTGTTGGTTGAACGGCACGGCTGAGGAAAGACATATTCTGAAACAGAAGGAAAAGCTTACAGGTACTCCACTCTGACTAAAACGCCTGACATTTAGATCCTGACAGACCCATGAAAGGTGTTATAGAAACCAGGACAAACATAATTTTAAAGGCTTATTGGCTCTCCTTGTAAACCTCCCTGCATCCGCAGGGCATCAGGCAGCAGCAGTACTCCTACGACTGTGCCAACAGGGGTCTGGAAGGGGTCGATGAACACTACGAAGGACACACCTGCCGGCTCACGAATGGCTCCCCGTTCATTTAGATAGTGCACGTCTTACAGCGGAACAGGGTGCCATTTGGGACGTAACCCTGATCACTCATAAAACAGGCATTTAGCCAAGTCTTAGGGGCCTTGTAATTTTAGCCGTAAGTGACTTTGATGGAAGGTGACATGAGAACGTGATCAGTGATCTGTTGTTATTGCAACATCAGAAGAGAAAGAGGAGGCCTGCTGGGAATAGCCCGAGTGCATCCCATACGGCACCCCTACGTCCTTCATAGTGCACTACGTCTGACCAGAGCTCTATTGGAAGGGGTCCTGGTCCAAAGTAGTGCACTATAAAGGGAATTGGGTGCTATTTGGGACTCAGACCTAGTGTGAGGGAGGTAGTGTGGTGCGTGGGGGGTGAAAACAGGGCTGGAGAGTCACTATAAAGGGAATTGGGTGCTATTTGGGACTCAGACCTAGTGTGAGGGAGGTAGTGTGGTGCGTGGGGGGTGAAAACAGGGCTGGAGAGTCACTATAAAGGGAATTGGGTGCTATTTGGGACTCAGACCTAGTGTGAGGGAGGTAGTGTGGTGCGTGGGGGGTGAAAACAGGGCTGGAGAGTCACTATAAAGGGAATTGGGTGCTATTTGGGACTCAGACCTAGTGTGAGGGAGGTAGTGTGGTGCGTGGGGGGTGAAAACAGGGCTGGAGAGTCACTATAAAGGGAATTGGGTGCTATTTGGGACTCAGACCTAGTGTGAGGGAGGTAGTGTGGTGCGTGGGGGGTGAAAACAGGGCTGGAGAGTCATATGGACACCTTTAAGAGACACTTAAGGAGGTGTTTCTGGGAGTAATGTCTGTAATAGAGCTAAGACATCCTTCCAGCATGACCGCTGCACTACAAACTTCCATTTACTCAATTGATTCTGTAGTGCCAAGTGTCTCTCAGTCCATTCCTTCTGCTTAAATAATGTGTGTGAATATGACGTGACACATTTCTTGTTGGTACATGTTTTATCACAGGAGTTTAATGTAACGCTAAACATACATTAATACTGATCAATAAACTACATGTTTTATCACAGGAGTTTAATGTAACGCTAAACACACATGAATACTGATCAATCATCTGTTTGAAGAAGAATGTTGAGTGGAATTTCAAGTGCATGAAAAATGAGACAATAGAACGATCACAAGAATTCCGGAATAATGTGTATTGACTCTGGGTTAGCTGTTAGCTTTGATAGGCATTACATTAGGAAGGCTAGCCATGTTAAAACCTGAAAGGCTATGGTTTAAACGTGTGCTTTAGAGGGGAATGGGTTTAGAGACCGAGAAACACAGAGCATTGTTAATGTGTCTTCAACAGGCTCAACCCAAGCATGGAAAACTGCTCGGCCTCCAACTCTCCCTCTCTGTAGCTTTAGATGGATTTACAACGTGTTCTCAATCGGTAATAGCCTTCTCCAGGAAATGGCATAATCCCAATTGGCACCCCATTCCCTATATAGCGTACCACCTTTGACCAGAGCATTAAACTGTTAAAGCTGTGTGATGACATCCTAAGGAGCCGGACTAATGCAGTATAAATAACATGTTTGTGTGCTGTCGTGGACACTCTCTTAAACACACAATACAACTACTCACTCTCTGCCTCTGCTTATTTGTGAGTGACAATGTATAGCTAGCTACCGCCCATGAAAATCTAATGTTTTTTTCTTTTAAAAAAATTTTGTAAAAAAAAAATGGAGCACAAATACTATATTATGTTACTATTTATTTTATAAAAAGTAACAAAACATAAGCCATTGTTTGCTTGAATCTCTGTGACTGTCATATAGACCTAATGGAAATATAACATAGAACGTTTGAAGACAGAAAGAGAGTGGGACAAGACTTCTAAAGCACCAAGGACACGGGTATCAAGTGTCCCGTTGACAAGAAGTGCCTGTCGTCACAATTCCCTCCGAGACAAATGACATGCTTGGCTCAGGCCACGCATCCATACACACTGATTGCATTTCGCTTTTGATCCTCAGTCTTCTGTTACTTTGTCAAACTGTTTCCTGACAGCTGACAGATTCCATCAAACTTTATTTACACTGGCATTCAAGTGGGACACTTTGTCACTCTTTTGTGTCGACTATGTCACCACACAGTCTCCAGTTACACCTGGACATTGTGAATCTCTGTATCCAGAGAACACCCTTCACTTACAATCCATTAAACCTTCAAACAGTAATATGCATCAACATATTCCGCCCAGAAAAAGAAGCCCGAACTTGCAAATTAAAACTAAGCTGTCAAAACAGTATATGTTAACAAGGGATCTACAGTAACAATCAATCTAAATCAATGTATGTTCGATGGAAAATGCAGACTGCGTCCTCATTATCATAACACACCATCTCTGGGTTCAATCTAGCCAAGATGCTCTGTCCTAAATGGCTTCCTTTGTCCTATATAGTGCACTACTTTTGTCCTGGGCCAATAGCATTGCACTATGTAGGGAATTGGGTGCCATTTGGGAAGTCTATCTGTTTTGAGGCATTATACAGTACAATCAA